TGTGTGTGTGTGTGTGTGCAGGACAAAATTGGATTAGAAATGCTCCAACACATATCTATTCCAATTCTGGTGTGTGTGTGTGTGTGTGTGTGTGTGTGTGTGTATGTGTGTGTGTTTTTCCCCCCTCAAGTATCTCTGCTGATATTACACTGATATTTCATCAGCGCTACGACCATAGTAGATTTCTGTCTTTAAATCTTGTCTCATACTTACGCCTGACAGGTCTCTGGAATTAGCTGGAAAGCAATCAGGCTCCTCCGATCAAGGAAAAGCACACGGGATAAACGAATGAAAAAGTGTGGAGAGAGAGAAATGATAGCAGTCCATATAGCTTCTCTATCAAAAGTTATTTTGCGGGCAAGCGTAATAACTTGGCCTGCCACCGGATTGCATCAGACCGTGAGGTGTGTTACTAATCGCATCTAAAATCTCAGTCTTGATAACATCTTTTTTGTATCGTTGATTCATCGAGTCCAAAATGGGTTACGGGCAAGCAGTGATCATGGAGGCTGCCTGGTAATTACACAGTCAAAGTATTTGGTGCGGCTTTCAATACCAAATGTGTCATTTTTGTATAAACACTGAACTGTTATTTGACACGTGACGAACACATATTGTCACGCTGCTAGCTTATGTTGCTTCGCAGTTTGTGTTCAAATGCCCATCGCTGAAAGACTTATAACCACTGTCGATAATAAGTGTTAGCTTGTCAATGGCGATTCCCATTTTGCGTTAGCCTTAAATGGGCGGAGGCCTTCTGAAGGTAAAGTTGAAGTGTGGGGAGAAGAGGAAGTCCAGGCCGAGTAAAAGAATGCGCTGAAGGAATGTGATGCCACATTACCACACAAACTGGCATGCAAATATTGTTCTTGCCATATTTGCATATTCAAATGATCACACTCCCCAGTTCATCATCGCACGCTCCTTCATCCAACCTTCTACGGAGCCAAACAAACCCCCCTCCTGATTTGACCTCTCTGCTCCTTTTCATGCAAACATCTCCAACTAGTGCAGATAGATGGGTGTCATATTTCGATGGCAGCGCACCGCGAGGGATCATTAATCAAACGCTGCGGAGATGTGAGCGAGTTTTGTGATGAGCAGCCTTTGTAGACTTAAGGGAGACACATGAGCGAGCACGGTCGGGCTTCGCTCCAGGATGCAAAACGGGGAGGCAGGGAGGCAAGGCGACATATTGCGCTCAGCTCATTACATTGTCACTACGAGCGCCCAATCTGGGACTCGTTGGCTTGAATGCAGCCTGATTCCACCCTGTTTGAGTGAAAGCAGGCCACGGCGCGATCTCCGCTGGGAGAAGAGGCAAGAGCATGGGTCCGGATTCATATTGAAACAGGTTTATGCTAATAATGCCACAGAGTTAGCGGAGTGCATTTTACAGTACTTCCATCTGTGCGTGTGGTCATGAATCCTTCATACATATGCATGCATGGCTGACTGCTCAAATTAGCATTGGTGCCCCCCTGTTGGTACAGTGTGTGTATTACTGTGCGCGGTGCACGACCAGGCTAAGCAAACTGGTTGTGTGTGTGCGCGTGTGTGTGTGCTTCACAGCACCACGCTGAGGGAGGCTGCCATTTGTTTGCACTTGGCCCAGAGGAAAGTGCCGCATGCCAACAACCCGCCACGCCGAGTGGGGGAGTACGAGTGAATGGAAACATAGCGGAGGAGGAGAGGGGAGATTGTTCTTTTATGCTTCACTTTTTGAGCTTCGATCGGATCAATATAGTCCAGAGGATAAAGAATATATGAATACGAATGCTGTGACAGGGAAAATATCCAATTCCGTCCATTTTTCTCTTCACATTGCCAGGGCGCACATTGCAATTGTGACTCTTAAGTGCAAAAAAAATTGGAAATGTGTCATTTGATGGTATTTAGTCGGGAATACAGCGACCGAATAGCTTATGAGACAGCGCTAAAGGCTTTACAATCAGGGAAAAAAAGACCATTTAAATAGTTGAAGCAAGCTATAAAAGAGCAACAGTAAGACAAGGGCAAACAAAAGTCAATAAAAATACACACACACACACACACACACACACACACACACACACACACACACACACACACACACACACACACGATGGTGCAAACCTCAATCTCTCATTCATTAAGACCTGAGGTGATCGGGTTACACACTCACATGCGTACACAAACACACTTACCCACAAGCAGTCAATCCCACAGGCCAGGCCGTGCCAGTTCAATTGAATTATCGCTATCGTACACCCAGCACAGAGAGTGGAGAGTCTGCCCACAATCCACACCCTCCACATGCGGCCCTGCCTGCAATGGTTGCAAAACACACGCACGCACGTACGTGAGATCATATAGCACTAGATGTCCCTCACGCAGGCTGCATCACTTTTTCGATTTCCCATGACAGACAGGGTCCCATTATGGTCATCACTTACAGTCCGTATTGATCACCTACTCGCTGGGCTCCACCATCTTGGGCCGCGCGCGCGCACGCACACACGCACACACACACACACACACACACACACACACACACGGTACAGTCATGTTTGTACTGCTGGCTTTGTAAAGACGTACACAAAGCATCCACGTCCAAATCAAAACAAGCGTCAACCTTGAAAATGTCCTCCACAGCACTTTTCTGTTCTTCATCGATTCATTTTTAACCTTAACTAAAATCCAGCGAGATCACTTGAGGCCAAGCTCTCATTTTAAATGATATTGAGATAAACAAGCAAATTGCGGCTTTCGCAGGGAACCAGAGCCCAGACCTAAATATATTATCATGATTATTAAATACTACAATACATGCTGTCACTGAAGCAAAATGTGCATTTTATTTGTTTAAAATTTTCTCCCAAACTGTTTTTTTTAATTGAAAATATATAGTTCAAACTGGTCAAAGATGGATATCAGCAAAAACAGGAGAAACGACATCAACATAAACTTTCCCAGAAAACCCCAAACTAAAATGTTTGACAAAAACACATGCTAATTTGGAACACAACATGTAACGTAACTTGCACGTGAACATTTTCAACTGGATGACGAATGTGCCTCATTATTATAACAAATCCACTCGGTCACTGTGTTTGACATTTTCAGAGCCGCCTGCCATGAGTCCTCCCACCGGAGGAGGGAAACCCTGGTTGATGTGTCACGTAACGAAAAAAAGGAGCGAAAGAAGAAAAGGTCGCTGCCTGCTTCATGCTACGGCGCGAGAAAATGAGGTCGACTGAAGATGGCGAGAAAAAGAGAAAGAGAAAGGACGCTGGCAGGAGAGAAACAGGAGGAGGAAAAAAGGAGGATGTTGCTGCCATGGTAACCAGTGGCACCTCAGAGAGGAACGGCACCGCTGTGGGGAAAGACCCAATGTGCATGAACACACACACACACACACACACACACACACGCACACGCACACACACTGTGTATCCAAAACTAAAACGCATTCATGTATGTTTCATTGATACATTCCTATTTCAGTACATGGGAGTCTTTTTTTTTCCCATTTTCATCAGTCATGAAAGATGCAACTTTTTCATGTTTAATGAATTAACCATTTCCGCCGAATCCCTTGAAAAGTCAATTTATTTTGTCCCATATTGTAGTCGTCCTTTGTCAGTGCAAATTTGCGCGCTGTGTATCCTCCCCACCTCCCACGGTGGTGATGACGATGAGGCGCTCCCCCTCCCCCAACATTTTCACATGCAACACAAATTTGTTCTGCATACGCGTGAGAGATTTCCACCGTTCTGTAATGCACGGCGATACTTCTATTGCCCCCCCCTTGCCATTCGACGAGATTGAATCCAACAGAGCCTCCAAAGTCACACCTTTTAAAGGTAGCATACACATCGTTTAGTTAAAACCTCATAATTCAACCTTGAGTCCGTTAGCTGACAGCTAAAAATAAATAATGGGAAACTCCATTGACGTGCTAACGCAAAATTGCATCTATGTCGTGCTGTTCCCATTAAGCAAAGGTTATCTAAACACAAACTATGCAGCGACACATGTAAACAGAGAATATAACAGTACTCATAGTCATACAGTTTTTATCCTCTGCAATGAGCAACTAATCGGAGCTGAGCCCTCCCTGCCCGATACTGTACAACTGTCACCTGCTTATACTGCCCCCACGTGGCCAGGACGGGTACACCTGTGGAAGTGCCAATTGATGGAGCACAACCAAGTCTTTGTTATGACTATGTTTTTAAGAAGTACAATATTATCATTCATTAAAACACACATTGCATTAACATTTTTGCAAGGAACACACATTTGCATTTATGGACAATTTAGAGTCATTCATGGTCTCAACATGAATTTTTTTTTTTTTTTGGAAGAACAGTTCTTATTCTGAGGTTAATGAGAGCCAGCCGTTGCATGAACTGATGTGATTCATTCATGTAATGGTTCTCGTAAGAGTTTACTGCAAAAGCCAAAGGCTATTTATAACTTGGCATGTGTCAGAGGACGGTATATGAGCTTCATCGCACATGGAGGCGAAGACGGTGATTTTACAGGACAGGCGTGAACGGCGCAGATGCTGTTAAAGATGTTAATGAGGAAAAAAGAGCTTTGCGGTAAGCGTTAGATATGTGTTAGCATTAGCTGCAAATTATTTCCTAAAAAGAACACCGGGGGTCGCAGTTTTTCCATTGCAGTGAGTTGGTTATGTGAGGGAAGGGTGCCAGCTGTAATTATATTTAATAAACAAAAATCATGGATTCATTTTTCCCCTGTAGCAAATTAAGAATTTCAGTCAAATTCCTGTTTTTGAGTAGATAAAGCAGAGAATAGTGTTTCCTGTGGGGAATATGCCTGGGAAAAAAATGGATTCACTCTTTTTGTTCTGACCACCATCTTTTCATGCATCACATCACAAGGAGGAAAGGAATGAAGGGAGGTCAACTGAAGGAGAGGCAGATGCTCGCGTGTGAATAATTATGATACTGATGAGATTCGACCAGAGTGGCGCGATATTCGGGGAGTACCTCACGACGCAGGAGAGGCGGGGAAAGTAGTGAACAAAGGGTGATTCTTTCTTCACGACTCGGTATGTGGGTTAGGCACGTCCGCATGTCCTCTCTCTCCTTCGTCATCCCACGAGGCGTGAGAAACTGGAGCCTCCCTCTCATCTTGAAAGATGTATGAAGCTGCATCCATAGGGTAGGCGGCCATAGTGTTCTGCATCCGACTGTCTGAAAAGATTAGCAGAGAGGAAAATAGTCAAAAGTCGAGGACTGCGGACATTATGCAGTGCTGCCTTCCGTTAAGAATATCTCAAAATAGCTTCCTCCGCTGAAATAAATGGTAATGGCATTAAGCCACCCAAAAAAAAAAAAAAAAGTAATGTTTTTAAGGAAGGAAAATAGCACTTTATAATATTAAACTTTGTAAAAACATACAATAATTACATAATTAAAGACAAATGAACAGAATGATACAGTTTTAGTCACAATTTACTCTGCTGCAAATTCTGGTGGGTGAGCCTTGGCCACCTGGGCGCAATATAAGAAAAATCCGAGAACTACTGTACTGGAGGATTAGCTCCTGTCACAATTTCTCAGTACAACAGTATTCATTGGTCGGTCTTTGCGGAGGATAAAGAATATATACCTGTGAGTATTGTTTCATGGTCTGTCTGTGTTGTTGCAGCATTTGTGTTCGGGTATCTGTTGCTTAAAGGGTAACAAGACTGCCAAACTGATGCTTGGCAATAAAACAGAAAACATTACCATCCACACATCACCACACCTAACACCACAGAGAGATTGACAGAAATCCATGTTTTTGCTATAACACCAATTAATACTGTGATATGTGTGTCAAGCGCCGGGTGTTTTTTTTTTCAAGTGTGCAACACTCGGCCTCTCACTTATAACATATGTTGAATAAAAACACCGTCACAGCTTCCAACACAAAAAGCCGTGACAACAAACGGAGCTGTCCCCTGCGCCCTCACTCATTTAAGAAATAAATGTGGGAAATCTGCGAGCCTGTAAACGTCTGCGTGGGTGTGAAATCATGAGACAGAAAGGGAGGGAGGGGGAGAAAAGAAATAGAAACGAGAGACAGGCGAAGGAGAGAAGGACACTGGGGAAGTTTCCCATTGTGCCTCAGCAGGAGTCATTTCACACACACACACACACACACACACACACACACACACACACACACACACACGCACACACACTCTACAAGGCCGCATTTGGCTCTCTTGAGGTGAGCGTAAGAGAAATAGTGTTGAATTTCACAATAATCAAGGGAACATATCACCAGTTAAAATAAGGCTTTGCGCTTATGCAGGATGTACAGTGTGTTTGTTCATGTGTCCTCATGTGTGAAGGATTCATCTTCACAAGTTGATATTCATAGAACTCCCCAGACCATTCTGTATCCGTTTGCTTATTTACTGCATCTATACATAAAACATGACAAGCATCGTCTTTTCATTTCATCTTAATTCATTGGTGCACCGATAGAGATTTGATATTTTTTCGCCAGCAAACAACATAGCATGGTGTGCACGTCCGCCTCACAGTTCTAGGCTTCTGGTTTTGAGTCACAGCTTGAGAATCCCCAATTCCCTGCATAGCACATTTCAAGAAAATATTAAGTACACTGAAAACTGGAAAGTGAGCATGAATGGTTGTGTATATGTGACCTACAATAAAGACTTTCAAACTAGAAATTCCCACGGATATCTTATTTTTTGTTTGTTTCTTGAGATGATACAGTATATCCTTTATTAACTGGAAGGACAATTTATACTTCAAGTCAAGTAAGGCCCATGACTATGCATCATCTTCAGTAGCAGAATACACTCGAAAATGTTTGAGGAGTGCTCCCAGTGTTGCATATAAATATAATTTTGATACAGAACATGCATGGATTATGCATGTAAAGTAACATGTTACAGGTTCAAATGTCAATAAAATAGTATCAATGAACAGTAAAACAGAGGGCCGATTTGCTGTGATTGCACATTGTGTACTTTTACGGTGAAATATTTCGTAGACTAACTAGAATCTGTAAAGAAATGAAAAAAATAACTAAGAAACGCTTATCACGAACGTAGCCATTTTGTTTGTGAAGAATACAGTTAAAGGTACAGAAGGGGGCGCCAGAGTTCTTGAATTGTGCGGACATAATATTAGGTACACCAGAAACAAGTTATTTCATAAAGAGATGTATCAGATTCCGCATTTGCAAAGAGAACAACCTCACTATTACTAAATAAACCACAAATGGGTTAATTGTATTATTGTTGGTTGTCGACTCCAGGACAGAATTGCTAAAAAGAATAACGAGGGTTTAAATCTGTTAAGTAAATAGCATTCTGTAAGTAAAACACGGCCTGATTGGTCCCTGGAGAATACACGTTAACGCTGAGCCAATCCGGGAGAAATTCACTCCCGGGTGTGCAATTATCTTCCTGTCTTCTTTTTCTCTTTGTTATTTGCAAATTGGCGCCATATATTGTGAATAAAGCACGACAACTCTTCAGTGGTGAGTTAATTTATATTTATATATATATATATGAATTCAATACATTTTTGCCATAAAGTATTGCAGCGTTGGAAAAAAAGAAATACAATAGTTTTTTTAATGATGTAAAATGAGATAAGATGCCAGGTAAATTAAACCAAGTTCTTATTAGTTGGTAATGTTTGTTTACAGTGTGACCCGATACCATATATATCGCCATTGCTGTTTTATATGTGCCGGTAAAGTTTTGACGCAATTTAAAAGTTCAAAAACACCAATTAAAATTAACCTCAAACATTCTCTAGTTTTGTTAGCAACTGGTATTGAGCTGAAAATACACAGAAAAGAACAAATTGTCATTTACCTTCTCAACAGCAAGATGAGTAAACAAGCACGCAGTCCGGGACGAGGAGCTCAGTGGAACTGCAACCGACTTCAGTTGCATTTTGATGAAGCTGCAGGGTACGTTTCAAGTTTACGAGATAATCCTTAATGTGCCACGATTAGTACCCTAATTTGAACCGTGCACTCATTGGCTACATAATTTGCGACACTAGTTACAGCTGACTTTAGTCCCATTGTAGTGCGTGTAATGAGACAACAATTTACTCTGAAATTTACAATCAATGGCGGGGAAATATTGGCATATTACATCGTGAAGTTTTTACTTGCCTGCAGAGATGACCAAGACGTAGCTGAAAAGGATGGTACACTTCCAATGATGATGACTTCCATCCCCATAAACGCCAATGTGCTTGATTCTGATCAATTATTGTTTGGAGTTGAGGTAAATAGAGAGAAGTACATTGAAAAATGTTTGTACACTTCTTTAAGTTCTCTGTCATTTTTTTATGACATATTTCTTTGAGGATCACATCCCAGACGACCCAGCTTTCCTGAGTGTCTCCCGCATCTCCGATGCTTATAGTTTGCTTGCGAATGAAGACATCACTGTGGTGCAGTCCTTGGACTCAGGGGTTGTAGAAGGTGCATACTTTCATACTTAGCGTAGTTGTCATGCTGTGTTATGTGTCACCGAGACTGTTACGTTAGGCCTACTTTATCAATAAACATACACTGTATTTTTTTAAGCCAATAGTACTGACCTTGAAACTGCAACAGAATCTTCATCTTCTTCACCCTTGCCAGATTCAATTTGAGCACCCGTTCAAAACTATCTCATTGCCTCGACCAGTTGCTCTGTTCTGCATCATACTGAGAGATGTTTTGATTTCCTGTTGAGAGCAAGTACATTTCAAATCATTTGGACGAGAGTCCCAACTGTCGTTGGATCAATCAACTCTCACAAAATATCCAAGTCTTTTTTCATGAAAAATGTCTCAATCCCATCTGAGGACTTTGCCAAGCCAAGCATGAGCAAAAACAGGATGTAACAGCAAACGCCACTTAACAAGAGAACATGTTCCGTGTTTGTTAAGAAGTATGATTTTGAAGTCTAACACTGATGAAATGGAAAACGTTAAAGCAAAACCCTACCTTTTCTTCACAAGTAACATTGCGGCTAACAAAAGAAGCTAACGTAAGTATCTCATTGCCTTACTCAAACTCATGACGCATGAGGCCAGCTGCTGAAGATCCAAAACAAAATCCTTTGCTCATGAAAAGCTGCGTTGATTTCTATCAAGCCTGTTGAAATGGGTGGACAATATTAAGTCAAAACGTAACAAAATAAAAGGAGTAACTAGTACTAACGACAGGCACTTTCAGTATGATGCCATGCAGTAATACTATACCACTTATCAGACATTGTTAAATTTCAGTCAGAACTGAGCCGAATTATATCTCGATAGGCAGAATTTTTAAACTACATTGTGTTGATGTGCCTAATGCTGTGGTCAGCGAGTGTTCACACGTCCTGTGGTTTAGTTTGGAACACAGATTTCCACAAAAAGCACATGATGGCAATAAGCAGTGACAAATTCGACAGCCTCTTGAAGATGTGTCCGCATTTCCTGGGCTGCAAGAGCCATATGGCGGCGTTTGTCCTTGTGAGAGGTACATTTCATTTCACATAGTGTCTGTTAAGACCATCAAAACAAAAACAACTTGGGGATGAACTAAAGCAGAGACATCCAAAAGTTAACTTTGAAGTACTTTTGTGTGCTTCTTTCCACAGAACTGACGGACACATCGGGGCGTGCATGCAAGTTCTACCAGGTGGTGGCGTTGGGAACCAGCCGCTTCAGCCGCACCAGTTGGCTTTGCTGTAACGGGACAGTGGTACACGACTGTCACGCCATGATCACTGCCCGGCGGGCACTTCAGAGGTGCGCTGGCATCATCAAAAGGCACCTTCACTCATCATACGCCCCATGCGCGAGACGCCGCAATTGTCGTCATTGTCTTCAGATTCCTCTACAAGCAGCTTCTGCTCTTCTTTGGCACTGACCCTCAAGCCAAGGAGGCGTGCATATTCGAGAGCAGCGCAGCCGGGCCGCAGCTTCAGCTCAAACCTAACACCAGCCTTCACCTTTATACCAATCAATGTCCCGAAGGAGCCGCCAAGAACTTCTACATGTGGTGCGAATGTGTGTTCAGATAATGGAAGCATTCCCTAGTATGACATACTGCTAAGTAAATGACAACCCCATCTGTCGCCGTCTTCAGGTGCTCCGCCTACAACAATTGGACCCCCCTAGAGCTGCACTATCACACCAAGAATTTACTGGTGCCCGCCGCTCACCTCAACCCAAACCACTGGGTGGCCAACGTGTGCTGCATATCGGACAGCGTCAAGCTGCATCTGTGGACCATCGTGGGCGTGCAGGGCGCTCTGCTGAGCCACTTCATCCAGCCGCTTTACATCGCAAGCATGGTGCTCGGTAACAGTCGTCACGCTGATCTGTAATGATAAAGTCTAGTTGGGATGAAGTTTTGAAGTTGTGTCGACGCAGGAGGCCAGAAGCTGTACGTTGACCAGTTGTCAGACACCAGTAAGTGTCTGGGCGACGGCTGGGAGGACATCCTGCCGCCGTTCTACAAGAAATATGACATCAGCTTCCTGTGCTGCGAAGAGGCTACGCCCATCGAGGTGTCACCACAGCATGACGTCCTCAGCATCAACTGGTGCTTCGGAGACAAAGACATTGAAGTGGTAGACAGCAGCAAAGGCTTCATTGACCACAGGTAGTATGTTAGCTTTTCAACTTTTTGAAGCACCAACCCCTGCTTGTATGGCACTGGTGTCGGCCAGAAACTTGGATGACATAATCTGATTCATTTCTTATTTTTTCAAAGTTCCTCGTCCATGAGCGGACCCAGCTTCTCTAGTAGGCTGTGCAAGAGAGCGCTCTACAGTTACTTCCGTCAAGTGGCTCAGCTGGGCGGATATGGCTATTTGCGAGACCTGCCCACCTACCACAGTGTCAAGGTGCGTTTTAAAGCATGTCTGCTGAGCTCAACAGGCCTTCATATGGATACGTGTTTTCGACCTTGTGTGTGTGTGTGTGTGTGTGTGTGTGTGTGTGTGTGTGTGTGTGCGCGCGCGCGCGCATCAGGTGGAAGCCAGCGTCTACCAGACTGTTAAGGAGCTAGTCAAGCAGCACTTCCTCAGCAATCACGGCGGCACCTGGAATGCCAAAAAGCTGGTGGATTTCTTCAGCACCTGAATGGTTTCTCCTCCACGTTTAGTTTAGCTGAATTTCGGCATTCAAGTTCTGTTTGGAAAAAAATGTTTCGATTGTCTTGGTTCTAAAGTTTACAATCTCTAAAGCACAGCATTGTTCGGCAGTGTGGTTTTGGTTGGAAAGAAATACTTCAACAGCGATTAAAAAAGGGTGACATTTTACAATTGATCATGTTGCACTTTATTCCACAGACATTTGCAAGAACAGCAACGCTGCACTGATTATCTAAAATGAAAAAGAATATGTACAGTGGTATGACATACAATTGCCCCAACCTATGAGTTTTTCGAGTTGTCACTGCTGATTCGCTTCGCTTTGCCCTGCAAGCAAAAATTTGACAAATGACCTTAAGGTACCCCACCCACCACTAGATGGCGGCAGCAAACTTTACAAGAAGGAGTGAAAGTACAGGTAACTTGTGTTACTCCCAGTTCAAGTTTACTTTGAAACTGGGTGGAAAACAAAGAATTACACATGTATTCAACCAAACCACTTAACGTTCTTACAAAAGGCGGCTATGTTAATGCTAGCGCATAACGGGAAATGAGCTAGCAATGCTGTGATTGATAGCTTTAAAACTGATGTTTAACACAAACGGTGCAGCAACACATGCATTATAAACACTTGGGTAATGATGATTTTAGTTACAAGCGTGGGCACAGAATGAACTGTGCTCATAAGTCAAGGTTACCACTATAATGGAAAAATGTAATTGTACACTGAACACAAATGAGAGAGGCCGTTATCAATATAGTTCAAAGCAGTAGAAAATAATTAGATGCAATTCTATGCGAAATTGAAGGTTTCCATTACAGCTGTGTTTCTATGCTTCAAAGGCACAATGTCTTCTCACCAGTTGCTTAGCAACAGACTCCTCCCTGGTCCTGATGCTCATGTGTTCATAATTGCAGGCTTCTTTGTGGCACTTAGTAGAAACAAAGAACAATAGCGATGCATGATACAATTACTGAGGACAAGGAACAGCTAATTTCCGTGTCTGGTGTCGATGAGGCCGGGCTGAGTGTCGCATGTCTGGTGTGGGCTCCTCCAGCCAGGTTGGGGGGTCACTACCCTCGTGGGGGGCTTCCGCTGAGTCCCCAGAGAGGTTGACTGGGCACGGGGGGAAAACCAGCGATTTCACAAAAAGCCCTGCGGGATCATTGTGAAACATCTCATAAAGAGCAAAGGCCCAGGCCTCTATCAAGGATTTTTCGTCTGTAAATGAGCAATGAGAATGTGAAGGCTCTCTGGAGGGGACAGACAGAAAAAGCAAAGATAACACCTGCTTGGAGGTTTTAAGAGGCAACAGAGAGACGTGTAGTTGTCGATGCTAGTTTGTACTGACCCAGGTCAGGCCTCTTGCAGGACGAGCCCCTTTGGTTGGATCCCGAGGAGGCTGACGTGCTTACAGTGGAGCTGGACTCCACAGAGCGCACCGATGGCATGCCCGCGTTTAGTTGACAAGGGCTCGGCTTGGCGACGGTGGCGACGGATGCAGTGTGGCTCCACTCTACACAAAAACACCCACATCAGTGTCTTTAGCAAGTCTACCGTCGCATTCCGTCAAGAGATGAGTGTACGTACCAGAGTGATCCTCAAGGCGAAATTTGCCAAGGCAGAGGTGGACCCTCCATTGTCTTCGGACATTTTCCTTCAGGAGGCAGTGGAAGAGAAAGATGAAAAATCCTGGAAAAACAACATTCAGTAGATCATAAATACTGAAATAAAACATGTGGTTGATCATCAGAACATGAACATTGAACATGATCTTTCATTCAATATGTATTTGTCTACCTTGAAGGGTGTTGAGCAGAGAGAATATGTAGAGCATTACTACCCGGGCCGGCCCCCAGGTAAAAAATCCGGCGGTCCACGTGAGTCCGAGTAACAAAGTCAGAGTGGCGATCCCCTTAAAATCATGCATCAGTCCACTGCGGGCCCCAGCGGGACTGTTGGCCCGCATGTGATGAATCTGGATCAAAACCACCACAAAAACCTGACAATTTTGGGATATAATTGCGTAAGTGTCATTCCATTACATGAAACGTTTGTTCAATGGATTAAATTGAGCACAGAATCTGAACTCACAGCAATATTAAAAAGATACACCAGCAAGGCATAGGCGACCACAGACACGTAGAACGTCACGTCATCCTGCAACCAGCAGCTAGAGACGTAAACAGGAGTGTAGTTAGTATAAATATGGATTTAGCCATATCTCAAAATTGACCGTACAAGTTGTCACTGTTGTCAAGTGGCTTCAGGCTGCTCCGAGCGCCACTGTAGAGATGACCACCGTAAGCGTCGCTTTTCACAATCAGCACCAGCACACAAATCACCAGAGGAATGCCTGCAAGCGCAATGAATACTGTCAATCAAATATGAAAATTATGATTATTATCTCATTGACGAAATAAAGTGGTCAGTGATCTCGATACATGAGGTGTGATACAATTTAAGGTCGATACCTTTTAACATGTAACAAAGTGGTTTGGTTAAATCAAATCAATTTTCATTTTACCCCTATACATACATACACACACACACACACACACATATGCATAAATATATGGTGAAAAGAACTTGTCGTTTTGCATTTTTTTCGAGATTCGGACTCACCCCATCCTAGCGCACAAAACTTCAATATGTATGCCGGCACGTAGACGTTGAAGACCTTGATGAGTGCGAAGTACATATTGACACCCTCAAGTCCCATCCAGGTGAAGGAAGCCAGGAGGAAGTAGTGGAGCGTGGCGGCGGTAGCCACACAGAGGCCATTGGCGCCCCACGAGGAGAGCCACGAGTCAAGCAGGAATGCTAAATTCAGGCCTAGAAGGGCCACAGAGAGGTTGACGAGGATTTGCGACGGGTAGTCACGACGCAGCTTCCTGAAAGATAGGTGAAATGGCAACATTATGGAGGGGACAGTCAACCCTTGTCGTTTATAGATGTTGGCGTCTTACTCAAAAGCCGTGTAAGTCAGTACAGTGATCCCCAAAAACAGTGAGGAGACTCCACATCCAACATAGGTGATGAGTGTCAGCAAATGCTCATTCAGTTCATCCACTGGAGTTCTGGAGACATCCTAGACACAAAAACACCCACTGCAAAAACTCCACTTGAAAAAAAAAAATAGAAGAGTAATGAGTAAATATGAGATTTTTAGAGGAAAAATGCTCTCAGATAAAAACTGCCTGAAACAAAAAGATTCTGGCAGCCAAATGGCTGTCATATTAAAACGTGTATGTTAGGTTCATTGAATATTTAAATTGTCCTGAGGTGTAAATGGTGTCCAGGGACTGGCTGTTCAACGAGTCGCTATATACTGTATGGAAATGAAAGTTACCAGAAGAACTCCAAAATGTGTGAGATGATCACACAGGCAAGTGGTGAAGTCAGTACTGCTGTTGTACTTTCTGCAGCCGCGGGGGTCCCAGCCTCCATTTCCATCTAACACACACACACACACACACACACACACACACACACACACACACACACACACACACACACACACACACACGCATATACATGGACTTGAAAGTCACAGCAAAAAGTGAGCGAGTCCATTTCTACATCCTGACTGCTTACCGTTCTTATTGAAGTTCCAATACACACACTGCGTGTCCATATGGGGCTAAAATATATTAAAGGGGATTAAACCCTTGTTCACCCATTTGCCATAATGACAATTGCGTTCGTACTTGTTTGGGTTGGAGATGAAGGAGCATGACCTGGACATCCTCTCGGAGGTCCTGGATGGGGGAAGTGACGTTGCTGATGCTGGCGGACACCACAAAGCTGTTAAGGACCTGATCCTTTGATTTGTTCTGCAAGTGAACAAAACATCTCAATTAGTCTCTTATTTCAATGATAAACTGCTTCTAACTGTAGCGTCAGTCATAGACACTATTGTCCACACAATAAAACTAATTCACTCCCAGACACATATACCAGTATATGTCTTTTCAGACCCAACAACACATTCAGTCCCAGGTACTCATTAATAATATATATATTTTTAGAGTTAGGTTAAAAAAGGTTCTGAAAATGTCTGGGACTGAATGAGTTAAACCGCATCGTAACAGGGGTGTTTAGACTTTTTTCATCCACTCCTAATACTCAATTAATAATATTAAAATAAAAAAAAAAGAGTACCATGAAGAGGTCCGGAATGCCATAGAACTGAAACTGGACCCTCGGTGGACTCTGGGTGTGCGGGAAGCTGTGCTGCAGGACGGAGGGCAAAGAAATGAAAGCCACTGTGCCTTTAAGGGGGACCTTGTTGAGGATAATCTGGAACACAGAGACACAGGGTCGGTGTCGTTAAAGGAGACATTCATTGTTTTTCACCATTTCAAACAGAGTGACAAAACAGGAGGCTGAAACATGCTGGTCATGTTTGTTGCTGGTGACTATGACTCAACTAACCTCAGGTTGGGCACCAGCCGCATGAGGAGACACTCCAAAAGTCAAACCATCAAACTGCCCCGGAACCACGTCCACAATCGAGACCGCCAACGCCGGAGCCACCAGAGTGGACGGACCATGGAATCCCACCATGTAGTCTCCCACCGCCTCTGTGATGTTCAGGATCCTGGAGGTGAATACACTAATTAGGTTTTCTTTTTCCCTATTATTGAAATGCTTAATGTGTCCTTACATGCTGATGAAAGGCAAGAGGTAGCTGTGAGACCCCAGGATGTCCGAGATGGTGCCGATGAGAGCTTGGCCCAGGTCGGCGGTCACCGACCTGACATCCACCACGGCCTTCAGTTTGGCCAGCACCATCGCCAGCTCCGGATAGTTGAGCTCAGAGCGATTGCTCAGTAAACTTTCAATAATCTTCACCACAGCCAAGGCGTTCTCTGGAAATAAAATGCATATATTTACATGTTAGGTCTTTCATGATAGGATTCAATATTCAGTTTAGTGTTGTGACAGACCTGGGGTGACTTTTACATGGTTCAGATCAAGGATGGTTTCCACGACTAGATGGCAGTCTTGCAAGTTTGGGGCCATCCATTGGGTGCTGGAACTCAGTTTACTGAACAAACGAGTTAATATTACTCAAAGGTGCCTTTGAGGCTTCCCAATTGCACTTCACCAAACGTTGGGATTTTTAATTTTAATTAAAATTACAGTATCGGGACATTTTGTACCAAATCCCCCACCCCCTCCCAGAAAAGAAATCATCCAAAGACAATTCCATATGTCTCAAAGGTGAGTTGTTAGTTAAAAGGCTCGATACGCCTACTTTTTTATCACCTTGTTCAGAAAAAACTGAGAACATTGTTTGAGATACATCCTCGGCTTCTGATTAATGATTTTACAGCACCAACTGAGTCAACGCGCGCGGAGAAGCGGCCATGTAAATATGTACAAGAGGAAGTACTCAAAACTCACAGGCGCACATTTATCGAAGCGTTCATGTTGACACAAGAGTGAGCCGCCCTCGAGTTTCACAATGGCCATAAGTACATTTTCTTTGGAGTGTGTTCTCTCTTTCTTAAATTAAAAACAAGAATAATAATAATTCCACTGAAGTCTTATGAAGACATCTCGTTTGTAAACCAAATCCTACTATAATTCCTCTGCATAAGGTAGAAATTTCTACGACAAAAATCATCATTTAAAAAAAATCTAGGCTTGTAACATCTGCCTTGAAAACATCTGCAGGACATATTTAGTAAAAATCCTAACAAAATATTTTTTTTCACGCGAACACGAGTTATGTATTTCCTACAACTCAATCCTATTAGATATTGTGAGATATTGTGACATTTATATATATGTGTCAGTAAATAAACATTACATCTCACTTAAATAATTTTCCACTGATGGGTGTGATTCTGACCAGTGTCTGGTGGCGTAGTGCTGAGTGTTTTTGGGGCATGGCAGAGTGCTGTTTTTCCCCGCAGGCGTGACGGGCCACTCGAAGAGTCCTTTTCTTGTCTGCTGACTCTCCGCTGGACAGGCAGCAATCACTGAGATCAATCAAACAAAAGAAAAGACCCAAGTCAAGTGACGGCATCCTTCTTCAATCATTTGACCTGCTCGCTGACGTATGCGGCTTATTTAGACATCGGAACGTTGTGTATAAAATCTTTATCATTTTAATTTCGAGAAATTTATTTAAAGCTCGACTTAAAAATTATATATTGCATCTTCATGATGAACTGACCTGACATGCTGGTGGATGTTTGAGTGAAGGGGGAAGTAAGGATTGATGACGTGACAGGAGGACGCTTCGTGGTCACAGCGGGTAAATTGTCTAAAGAGAGGAAGACATTTAGGATCTGTTGTCATGGTAACAATTAACACCTCTATGTGATATCCTACCAATGGGCGTGATCTGTGTGCTGATTGAGAAAACCTGCACCTTCACCGGACCATCGGGGTCGTTGAAGCTGTGGTTTAGTGCCGTGTGAATCGTCTGCTGCACCGTTGCCACGTCCAATTTGGGGCTGACTTTCATGTAGGCCGTGCCGTTAAAACTGCACAACACAGCCATCAGCATTGAGGATTTATTCCATTCTATTTACGCTAATGTCAAATTTCTCACCTGCTGTTCGCATTGGAAGACGCGAAGCGCACCTAAGGGATGAAGGACACATTCAAACAGGTCCCAAAAGTTGCTGATTCCCGTTTAGCATGTCTTTGAATGTGATTGTTTAAGCTGCTCAGTAAAAGCTAGTCAAACATTACGAAATTTTTTGCAAAGTTCAGAAGACGTGGGCTGTTTTATTGGAAATGGGCAAGCTGCCAATCATTGTTGATGGGCTGTGGCATGAGGTCAACACTCAATCGCAAAGTGGATACCAACGTAGAGACTTGACTGTCACACCGGCAAAGGTCACTTGCCCTTCCTCTTGTGCCAGTCTGATTGTTGGCCACGCCCTGACTGTTTCCACCTGATGGCCCTTACCTTGTGTTTAAAAATTCCTTGTCTCCCTTTGTGCCGAAGTGTTTCACGCGCACTCCAGCCTCTCGCCACAGGCCCGACCAGCCCTTGCCATGTTTCCGCAGCCGCTGAACCTTCAATAAATCTCCCCTTGACTCTGATCCCTGCAACTGTGTCCTTTGTCCGAGCCGGCTATTGACATTGTCGGCTCACCTCAAATAATTGGATCTCCAGTACGGCCAATAGATGCCCATTGACAGATCCAGCGAAAGACTCAAGGCTGACAAATTATTGTCGGCCTGTTCCCAAATTAACCCTTATTTTACATTCATATCTCCTGGATGTTGCCTCCCGTCACTGTTCAGGAACCGCAAGGTCATCTACATGGCAACGAGACAATGCGTTTTGGCATGCTCGCCGGGACTCATGACGCAGACGAGAGAGGTCTACTTTTGAGTTTCATATACAGTATATTACAGCATGAGTAAATATTTACTTAGACTTACCTCAGACACTTTATCTTATACAGTATCTAACATACCATAGACTAAATATGAATACACAACACCAGATACAAGTCTATGTGGCACAAGTTCAGGCTCACCAACTTTTCTCTACTCGATGTAGTCAGCATGTTATTATCTTCAGCACTGGATCTGATTAAAATAACAGTCACATGTGAAAATAATGCTTGACATTGACAGGTCCGATGAATTCAAAAGTCAGAATGTTCTCCCACCTGGTTGCCGCATCCACTAGCACTCGGTTTGCCTGATATTCCTTCGGTAGCACTTGGACCTGAAATCGATACAAATGTGCTTATTTACACCATTAGTCTCATATAATCGCCTGCACCAACGCAATGTGCTTAATGCATGGGATGTATTCCAGTCTATAATAATACCCAGCGGGCTGCGATGTCCCTGGCTAAGTAGGGATCCGTGCTGTCCCCGTCATAGCGACTGACGGTGAACTTAAAGCTCACTTTGTAATCGGACCACTCTATGGGAAACAAGAACATCAGTTTCATTTAGATGGATGATGGCAAATAGATGGAAGGTGAATAGACATTAAACAGGTGAAAGGATGGATGGACAAATGTTAAATGGCTGGACAGATGGATTTCTCTAATGTTATAATGATAGCATGCTAGCACCCTTGGTACTGACCACAGGTGAGGGTGTCATCACATATGGGGGCACATAAGCCTTTGTCCCACTGTTCCCCGCTCCAGTGCACGAGATCTCCCTCAGTGCAGGAGAGCGTGTTCACTTCCTGGCTGCTGCGTTGTCGCCCCCACAGGCGGAAGAGAGACACCAAAAAGCTAGCGGACGGAAGGCTACGCATGGCGCTGTTAACCATTGAGTAGGCCGAGCCCAGGGTCAGCGTCCCGTTGGGGGCCAGCTCATAGCAGGAGGTGGAGATGGATGAAGAGGTGACGTTTTCCTCAACTGCAGCACACAACATTTTCAGAAGTATTAATGAAACATTTTGTTGTGCAACAGCTTTCTTTTGAAATTGATTCCATCATTTTTGTCCTCAAATACTACATACAACACTCCACAATATGAAAAAAAAAATTGGTGGAAAATTTTGCAAATGTACAGTGGAAATAAAAAAAGTTGACACACCCCTGTTCAAATATCAGGGTTTTGTGACGTGAAAAACTGTACTTACCTGTCTCGAGATCAGTCAGGTTTCCGTTTACGTACAGCAGGGGCCTGTCCTCGGTGTGCGACCAGGTCAGACAGAGAGAGTGCCACACTGTTGTAGCAAGGCCAATGTCGACCGTAGTCCACTTACTGCCAAACAACCAGACCATCACAGCGCCCTCTCGGCCCCCCAAGCCTAAACTGCCACACTGAACCTCTGGATGGTGGTACGTAAAGGCTGTCCATGACCCATTCGCTGAAAACTTGATGTTAACCAGAAACAATATTGTCCTCATTAATTCAAAAAAACTTTTGAATACTGGCATTGTACATTTTGTTTGCATTTGATACTTTTAGGTACCACCAGAGGAAGCCTGCGTAGCACTCGTCATATCATATGTATAGGATCACAAAAATAAGCAAATCATAAAAAGAACAATTTCATTGGAGGACTGTTTTTTAACCACCATTTAATTCTCACTCACACAGGTGGAGAATACCTCCTCTGGAAGTTCATTATTGTATTATTATTACTATTATTATTGTTGTTTAAAAAGGACAACAACCTTGAACTTGAGGTGGAGGCAGATGGTAAACTGGTCCAAGCTCGGGATGAAGACGTGAGGTTTCAGTTTCCAGTGTGGACAATGAGCGGTGAATTCGGCCACTTTGCCCCACAGGCTGAGCAGAGGCTCTGACCGACCACAAAGTACACCCAACACACAATATAACATCGGTGTAATATTATACCCGAGGAGGAAGTGCAATACTTTTATCGCTCCATGATACCGCTTTATCATTCACACTTGATGTATTATGTGCACATGTGATGATATTACACCTAGCTTCAACTTGATGACCTTCCATGTATTTGATCAGATTTTTGGGTGAATTAATACTGTATAGCATTATTGCGCAGTGTGTGTGTGTGTGTGTGTGTGTGTGTGTGTGTGTGTGTGTGTCCTACCCTGCATCATTGAAGAGGGAGCGATGCTCAGGAAGGTCAGCGTGACCACCACGTTGAATATTTTCGGTTGAAAAGTCATCAGGAATCTAGAAAGAGGTGACCCCCCCCCCCCCCCCCCCACACACACACACACACACACACCCGTATGGGTTTTTCAGTACAAACAGATAACAACGTTCAATTTTCAATTTAATCCAGATTAAGCCTTGTAACAAAATAGGCACTTACCCCGGTTAAAGGATCCTTCTTCAAACGCAAACAACTGCAAGCTATGTTGTTTCAACACTCGGACTCCAGTGGATCATACCGTGTGTGTGTGTGTGTGTGTGTGTGTGTGTGTGTGTGTGTGTGTGTGTACTCGAATGACGGGGTGAGACAGCAGTGAAGCAGAGAGGGAGATAAAGAGGAACCTATACACATTCTGAATGCAAATTTTATACTGGACATCACTCAAACAGTACAATACAAATCCTTTAAAAATATACATAGAAATCAATCAATTAGTTATGAAAAGTAAATTATTCAATTCAATACATACAACTAAGTATGTCACATAAACGTTTTTAAAACAGTTGTAAAAGATTACACTTTCAAATTAAATACAAATGAGCGTATGGGATTAAAAAAAGTTAAGGTCACTGGAACACAATGTTCAGTTTTAACGTTATAATGAATCATTCAATCAGGTAGCACGAGAGGAAGCCGACAGAGAGCTAGCGAGCAGATAGATAGCGTCATATCTACAAATATATTTACAAAAAAAAAAAAAACATGTTCTGAAGGATGCATTACAAATTTTTATTTTCCAGCTGCAGTATTAAAAAACAAAGAATTTCATAACGATAGCAATAAAAGGCAACCTTTACTTAATGTCATTTAATGCATGATACTCCCAATAATGGATACATGGATAGTTGTCATATATAGATAGATAAGATTAAGATTGAGAGAGAGACAGAGAGAGACCACATATGGGGTTTTGGCTTTTTCTTTGGATTTTGTGAATACAGCATATCGTATTTTCTCAGGGTGCGTTTACTTACACACGTATATTCGTCAAAGTTTACTGCGACCAACGAAAATGCTCTCGGCCAGCTTGTTGATCCCTGCAAAGCTGTTAATATGTCAATGGGACCGTCAATGAAATGAAGACATCTTCAACACCTTTGTGTAATTGCAGCCTCGCGAAAGGAGCAGTTGGGACTGTTTTCTAGTCGTCGCCGCAGTCGGAGCACAGGATGTCCCTTCCTTTCGCTATAAAGGGCTTGTTAGACAGATTGAGGGAGCACCGCTTACAGTTGAAGCAGTATTCATGCCAGGAGCCTCCATCGTAGGTCACCACATTGACCCCTTTGCCAAAACCTGATGGGAGAGGATAATTGTTACCAAAAAAAAAAAGACCTTTGCAATATACAGTCGAACCTCTTTACAACATACCTCGAGGGACATAGCGCATCTCCATGTTATAACGGTATTTCGCTGTTATTTGTCCAACAAAGTTATCTGATGTTTGACTAAATACACAACACGTCATTCTTTGCTTTATGTTTATTTTTCCTAGTGTACTTTAACTTGGGGTGGCAATAAAAACTAAAATCAATACTAAAACTAAGAGAAACGCAACTAAAAGGAAGCATTTTTGAAAAAAAAATTAAAATCCACTCTAATAACTAATTAAAACTAATTGGATGAAATATATATAAAAATTCAAAACAAAATAAAAACTAACTACAATGAAAAATCCGAAATGTTCATCACGCGGATGTTATGATGAGATTTTTCCTAATGTCAACTAAGTGTCTTTGCTCGGCAAAGGTGAGGAAACACTGATTTATTAAACACACTCAAATATGAACGGAGGCAAAAAAAATAAAGGAACCTGTGATGGCCATTTGGCAGCCGCTGCATTTCTTAGCCACGGTGCTCTTGTAGCAGTCCACGCAGAACACCTGGTCCTGGTGCGTGGTGAAGCTGGACCCGGCCAGAGGCTTGGAGCAGGAGCTACACACGAAACAGTGACCGTGCCAAGGCTGCCCCTGGTAGTTGACTCCTCCGGACATAATTGGCTGAAGAAGAATTAAGGTAGGTCAGTTTTGAATGCCACTTCTGACTGTTTTTCCTCAATTACCTTTTTGCAGGAGACGCAGATCTTTGCAAACTTGTCGTCATAGCAGGGGCTGCAGTAGACGTCGCTTCCTTTGGTGATGAAGCTCTGCGACGCCATCGGTCGCTTGCAGTGGCAGCAGGTGAAACAATCATCGTGGAACGAGTCGCCTTTGTACTCCACACTCTGTGTCCCTGGAGATGATGAGGACACACAGGTCATAGATTCACAAACCAATGTGCATGTAAGCCTGCTCGTCCCTGTTGATGGTGCCATCTTCACGCCTTTTTATTTTGACAACCTCTTAGTGTAGTGACAGCTCCGGTGAAGGCTGAAGCGACTGCCGCGCCTGTCGGCCAGGTAAGAGTTTTACTCCCCCCCGCCCCCCCCCCCCCAACAAAAAAAGACCATTACTTGGGCAAAAAGAAGCCTTAAACCTACGTAGATAAGATGAACGTCATAGTGCTCACATCATTACTCATCCTTCACAGAGGACAAATAATATATTACCTCATGAAAGAAATGTGTGTTTTTACTTTAATAATGTACAATTTTAAACTAAAAGTTACTCTGACCTTGCGCCATGCTTAGGCAAACAACTGAAGCAAAGGACAGTGGCAAAACTTGGTCAGTTATAAACAGTCAGTCGTGTCACTTCTGCAATGTTTTTTTTCAATGAAGTACAACATTCTAGAGTGCTATTCTTCCTTGTTAAAAACACATGACAAAACCTTTTTTGTTGGGGTTTTTTTCTGCAATAGATTCATGGCATTGCAATTAATTTCGATGGGGGAAGATGACACACGTCACCTGTTTGTGTGTGGATTCTCACCAGCGAGTATGGGTTTATAGCACGCATGGCAGCGTGGAGCTTCTTCTCTGGAGCAGCACTTGCCACAGAGGATGCGCTCATCCTTGGTGGTGAACGGCTCCTTGGCCAGAGACTTGTAGCACTTTGCGCATCGGAAGCAGTCCTCATGCCAATAGCGGCCCTTGTGGCTCAGCTCCTAATGAGAGCCAGTGTCACACATCCAGGTGCCAAATAATAAGGTCTAAATGTGAGCACGTGTAAACACCTTGGATTCCACAGAGATGGGTCGGTGGCACTCGGTGCAGCTGTTGGCGCAGAACTTGGTGTGGCAGCGCACGCAAACAGGCCGACCCTCGTTGCGCACAAACCTCCTGCCGCCGAGGTCCTCACGACAGTAGAAACAATGCACGCTGGCTGACATTTTTTTTTTTAATCTCTGAATCAAAGAAAAAAAATATTTAAAAATTGCAGTCAGATCAGGCTTTCAGTCATGTACTGTATTTGACTTTACAAGTGCATGAATGAAAAATAACTTTAATATGTCAAAAAAAAAGGTGGTAAGGAACCATGTTACACTTAACCCATTTACAATGTAAGCCACACAAAAAAGCAGAGGTACTAAATAATAATAATAATAATAATGAAAATCATAATTATCATAATAATAATAATAAATACAGAACAAATTTCAGTTTTTACAAATGCAGCCCTCATTATAAGCCAATAATTTAAATTTTTTAACTTAAATCAAAATGGACATCACACGCCTCAGGCATTCGTTGAAACGTGCTTTTGAGGTATATTCAAGAATAAGATCAAAAATGAAATTAAAATGACTTAGTGTGAAATTTCTGCATTAAAAATTAATCTGCGACTGTAATTTCCTGGAGTTAATTTTTGGAATCTAAAAAGTATTTTAAAACTTCATTTTCCATCAAAAACAAATTAAGAACAATATTTTACTGGAAATACTGTATATCTGAATTACACTGGTGTGCCATCATTTACATGTGATGGCAATGTTTAAGATTTTGGAGCAATCTAAATCCCAAAAGTCAGATAATGCACTTCAAGAATTAAAACACGTCACATCTTGAGTAATGCCACCAAGCACCACTAGAGGACGACACAGACGTTTGTAATAATAATAATGAGAAGCACTGAGTCGTTGACAAGTAAATCAAGAATTAAATGGAATGCTGTTGGGCGGGCCTGGTGAGCCGGCAACACTGAACGGATAAAAAGAGGGTGTGGAACTGAATGTAGCATGCTTCCAAAAGGTCGTTACAAGGGCAAGAACAGTGTGCTGGAATGCTGTGTGTTTATTTTCACTTTCTAGCCGGTTCTCCAATTTATATTACAAGGTACATGTTTCTCAGTCACTACTGTATTGTTGTACGATATACCAGCTGCAACCAACAGAGGGCAGTGTAGTTCCTTTACCTAAACTCAACTCGATGTATTTAAAATACTGTAACTAGAAATTAATTTAAAATTATGATATGTTATTAAGGCCAAGGCTAGCACACCAGAACAGGAGATTATTTTTTGGTGGGTATTAATTTTTGCATTTATCTTCATACATAACGACATAACGATTTCACTTGTGACTATTTATTTTGTGGTTAGTCTTTTAAGTTATTGTATATTCAAAGTTGAGATTTGGTAGTTTAATAAATACCGAGTTTTAAAATCAATGGATAATTTTGTTTATTAATCGGGATTGCACGATCAAGCAACATTATTGTTTACCCCCATATTTGCCCTGCCCTAGGAAGACATGTTAAAAATTTTCATTTACATGTCGCCCACTTCACTTTCTCACTGGCCGATGATCAAGAATTCTCAGAGAGTACAGTAACGTGTGAGAGTGTGCATGTATATGTGTGAATAAAGTGTATGATTACATAGAGAGGTGAACGCATGAAAGAATGCCTGCTATGGGACATGTGGTCAGATCTGGACTGCAGACACGTAGACACAGACACACACCCACACACACAAAAACTGCACTCACACAGACAACACAAGCCACCCAAGAGAAAACAAAACCCACAAACTCCGTGGGGTCAGCTACATGCCAGCAGAGACTCACATGGAAGTGTTCCTCTTGTCGTAAAAATCTGATGAAAACGCTACAAAAGTGTTTCAACATTTTTTCTAACAGTGACTGTGCAAGTTGATTTATTACAGGTCATTAACGTACTTTATCTAGTGTGAAAGGATTAAACTTATGCCTGTCTAAACATTTCCGAGGACTGTGAGCACAAGCAGACACGTTCGACGTAGATAAACAGACTTTACAGTCGACTAGAGCAGACAAAAGCAAAAAATTTAACCTGCATGAATGTGGCGGCCATGTTTACAGGGGTGAGTTTCCCATTAAAACAATGTATAGACAGATGTGGCGGCCATGTTGGCAGGGGAGAGAGTGCCTTCAAATGAAATGGAGCAAGGAGGTTAGCATCTAGCGTCGACATGTAGGAGCCTGTTGTATCGCCCTATTTAAATCTGTCTGTTGTTTTTACAAAGTAGTCCATGAAATTAGTCCAAGTAGTCTGTTAAATTGAGGTATAAGCAATAGCTGCAAACCTAATGTTAAGTGTTCTGTCATTCTTTATATGTGTTTCTTCTCTGAAGAATGTCATTGACCTGTTACTAAGGGGCCCAGGAACTCATTTAAATTGGGAACTAAATCACACTACACAACGTCTTAAAACTTGCCTATTTGGTTACAAAATAAACTTCATGCTTTAGGAATGCCAACCTGTTGTTTTATTTCCCCACTAAACTGCGCAGACCAACAGCAATTACTGGCTGCAGCCACACAAGGAGCGAAGCGGGTTAATATAAATTACAAGAGCGCAACCAGCATAACAGTAAGACACCTATCTGATGGGAACTATTCACTAACAGGAAGCCAGCCGGGAATTCCACACAGGTCGGAGGGAAAAATAAATCATGTTAGGGTGACGTAAGCTGACATGTTTCAACTTTTTTTTCCCTCCACTTCTTGTCATAATAAACCTTAAGAGCAGATAGCTATCATTATCATGTGCAGCTAAGTGCTAATGAAGACCTCCAAGTTAGTGTGCCAGCATATGTGGTCCTGGCTTGTATGAGGAAGGGTAAAGTGTGTTAAGTGGCAAGAAAATTATGTGCTTGACTGTATTTTCCTACTTGGGGTTGGAATGGTTGTAAACATTGATACAGGATACGTGTTGGACTTGGGAGAAAGTTGTCCTCATATAGTACAACATGAAATTCACACCCACTCCGAGGCATCTGACACCGTACGGATTTTTCACATTTGTCTGCACGACATCTGTGTTGGCATGAGCTTATCGGTCAAGAATGTGCTGGAACACGCCAGAAACAGGAAGTCTCCATCGCAAGAGCGTTGGCATGGTAAACGTACACTCGCATAGAGAAACGAATGCAATTTTGATAATGTTATTAAAAATTACGACAGCACTGTAGCAAATAGTGGGCTTTGACGTTTATTTATTCATTCTGGCAGGGCTTTATTTTTACTTGTTTTTTTTTGTTTGTTTTTTTTTACAATTATACTGGTCAACAGCAAATTTGAATAAGAGATGGCATCATGTGTCCCTAAATGTATTCAGACTGATTTTAAAAAAAATTCTTCACTTTTTTTCCTAGCATAGCACATCAGGTTTCTAAGATCTTTTCATTTTTTTGCATTTAAGTTGGACCTATAAAAGCTTAGGTAAGACAGATTTTACAGTCGAGGTGAATATTAGAGCTATGATGTTTCAGAAGAAAATTCCCCCTTTTACTCAACTTAACCCTTAATTCATAAATATTACAACCTATGGTATACAGTATTACTATATTACATGTGATATTATTCTTGTGGAATAATGCAGAAAGGAAAAATAGCATCATAGCAGCAAAGACTTTATCGGCTGTCTATTATCAATTTCCTTTCACAGTACAGTACTATCCGTGACATTCTGTGTGCGCGTGTGCCAGCCACCCTAAATTTAGAGCCTCAACAGCACCATAACGGAAAAGAAAGGCATCACACAACAACATGACCGAGAGTACATGTGACTTAAACTACTGTCTTGAGGGATTTCAAACAGCACAAACTATTCGACATGAATCTCAGTGTCCAATTCCAAAAGCTACACGCTGCCAAACAAAAAGCCGCACGTACAAAAAACAAAACAAAACCAAAATGTCCTCTTTAAGCAGCGGGTGATTTAAGCGTTAAAGCAGAAAGCTGGATGCGCTCTCATGTTCAAGAGAAAATCTTGGAGGGGATGTTGGTTAGGGCTGCAAAACAACTTTAGTGATCCAAGGCAACCATTTTTTTTCTGTGACAAAGCTTGGCTTTATTTACCTGAAGAATGCTTGATTTTTGGAGTGGTTGAAAGTGCTGTCTGAATGTAACAGTGCAAGTTAGCTTGAGATACATAGTGGCGAACGTCACAACAAGAAGCAGAGCAAACAATTCACCAAAAATCAGACAACTTGCTTGCTTCAAGCTGTATATTGGCACTCCCAGTTGAATTTTATTATAAAACTGGACATAAATTAAAGAATGACACGTTGTGTGTTTAACACAGCTTTGCCAAAAGTCTGCTAGTTTTCTCTCCAGACGCGATATTTCACTAGTTGATTCTGCAAACTTTTTTATGGTAGCTTCAGCCTAAACGCGGTGGCCAAAGTTTTTTTTTTTTTTTTTTTTAATCACAGTGGCTATAATCACAGGGCTATAATCAACTCCGCATGTTTTTTTTTTTTTTATGCGGCTCTTCTGGCTCTTTAAAAGTGCTGAAAATGTGCTTGACCTTATCTCATCATCGTCATCATTGTGAACCCTTTCCAATAAACGTCCCATAAAATGAGACACACTCACATTCTCTGACAGAGCCTGAGAAGTTGGCTGAAGTTTTACAAGACTGTGATGTAATTTACGGTAGTGTCCTTTAAACTTTCAAACATGCACCAGCTTTGGGGCTTAAAGTGAACAGTATCACGCTTGCTTCTCCACACTGAAACCCATTCATGTTCATGCTATTAAGAGGGACATGACCGCAGGCGGTGGAGCATTCGTTCACTCATCTCTTTAACGTGACTTCTGATGCCTTTGTAGTATTACTTTTTAATTTTGTATTTGCATGGTTCATATGGAAATTGACAATTCCTTGAAAAGTCTCCGCAAAAATTACCTTTTGTCCAGTACACAAAAATAAAGTGGTGTACAGTAATGTTAATTGACCCTTGTGAGTATTTCCTTGGCCTCAACACTTCGATCTGTGAATGAAGAGAAGAGGAAACTTGCTAACTGGAAACAGACTGCAAGGCTTCCAAAAGTCTCTCTCTTTCACACACACACACACACACACACACACACACACACACACACACACACACACACACACACACACACACACACACACGCGCAGGCACGCTTGCAGAATAATTTAGAGACAACGCCCCATGCAACTTTTAAGGCTTAAGTTCCCTTTGAAGTTTTCAGATTTTTGTAAGGCTAACTTATAAAAAAAATAAAGTGAAATGCAGTTGTGTGACAATGAGTTTCATCATCGTCATGATCAGCACTATAGATTATTCTCAGATGATGTACGTGTGACAATTTGCTCTTATCTCTTTATAAATTCCTAATGTCACACATCAAAGATCAAGCACACACGGGCACGTTTCGTGAGACGCCTATGCAAAATAGCGCAGACTTTTCTGACATAACACATCGTGCGTTAAGTCACAAGTTTAGACAAGAACATGTTTTTTTTTTCCGGTGCTCTATCTTACCGGGTGCAGGTCGAGTCGCGTGGCCGCGGATGAGCGTAAGGCGGGTGTCGAAGAGCGCGGGGGGGACTTCGTGTTAACGTCGCAACTCCGGCTGCTCCGTAAACACGTCTGCTGGCGTCGTCTGCTGGACACAAACAACCAAGCCGAGACCGGATTTGTGGTGTCGAGCTTCAAAATAAAACTTCCTACAACAGGACTTTCAATATACAATGTGCCAATGTGTACCACGAAAACACACACACACACACACACACACACACACACACACACACACACACACACACACGGGGAAATAGGTCAGATTTATTTTATTGAGGACACTTTTACAATTTGTAGTATCTTAAAACAAATCATTCTAATAATGATTTTTTTAAACTATGAACAAGTTGTATTTGACTTGTATGTTTATATTTTGTAGTGTAGGCTAAAGTGAAGATTCATGAGTGCAAGTATATTGATTATGAACTGCGCAGAAGTGTCCATTTCACAATTATTTAGGACATTTAGTCACCTCAAAAGCAAATCCCGATTTCAGTTATCATCATTAATTTTTTATAAGTAGAGCTTCAAAATGTTGTACATTTTGGGCAAAAGCTATGTGAACATGTTTTTGAAAGCTGATCATGTGTGCGTATGCAAGCTGAGATTTTAAATTTGTTAGCAGGGTAAGAACAAATTCAAGTGCATAGAACGCTATTTGCGTCATCTGTAGCACATAACTGCGTGTACTCACTGTTTGAGAGGGCGCATTCCGACAAATTTGAAACTCCCTTGGTTGATCCTGTCAACCTGTAAAGTGGAAGTCGTGAACTGCGCTGCATCACACAGAGATACATGTATTTTTTATGACATTATTTGATGAATTTATTCAGCTACCAGAGAGAGATAAAACATAGCAAACACGTTGTTTTAATGGATAACCTCACTCCATCAAAATAAAACTCACAGGATGAGAAGAAAAAATGTGCAGTCCTTGACATTTATTTCTGGTATTTTTGCATCTTGCCAGACAGAGGACCAAAAATATAGAATGAGAGTGCAGGAAAGAATAAGTCAGTCAAATCTTGTCGGAATACTAGATCACATTTTTTTTTAAAGAAAATGTTGACATAAACACATTCCTTTGGTGCTCACCAACTCCAGTGTTTGAGCTCGACAAAGAGCAGAATCAGACATTTTTTTGGAAATATATTTAGTTGCACGTGTAATCGGCATAACAAAAGTACTAAATAAATGAAATCTGTATCTTTCAATCATTTATACAGGTAACTAACACGCGATCCAAATTGAGTGGATGATTGTGTAGAAAATCTGAATTCTAAATACTGCTTGGAAAGAAAAAATTGACAAAAACACTTTGGAGGGATTAAATAGTTACCGGGTCTATTAAAGACAAGAGACTCTCTTACGGTGTTGACCAGCCCGCCCGGCACAAAGACAACAGGATGAGTTTCAGTCCACCAACTACAGAGATGCCTATGTGCAAAAAGCAGACGAATGAGTGAAATCCTTTTGTATTGCCACAGTGGAACCTCCGAAGTCCAACGCAATATGCTCCCTTGACTTCGAAATTGTACTTGCTCTTTTTTATTTTTTTCAGGCTCAAAAAGCATTCACTCGTTTACTTATTAAGCACCCGTTTACCATTGCACAATAGCATATACTGTAAGACAAATAGACATGAAATGCTGTGTACCTACGCTGAAGTAAAGGTAAATGAGTCAATCTTAAGTGAGAGTACATTAATCTCCCCACCTTTTCTCAGTATTTGTGATCTTTCTATAATGCTGTAAAATGCCACAGCCCGATACAAATAGTAATCGGTCTCAGGGATTACTTCCAGAACATTTTGGTTCAACTCGATTTTCCTACTTAAGGTGCGTTTAACTTTGGAGGTTCCACCGTTTAAAAACTCCAAGTACAAGTACAGTATACTCGACAATTGCGTAAACCTTACATTAATGTACAATTCTATTAGTTCTGATGACATATTGTTCATCCCCGTTACATCGAGAAAGGAAATAAATCACCTGCACTGTTAGTAGTCAACATCAATTGGCGCATTTAGTGTCAATCAGAGCGATCACCTGATTGTACAAATCAAATGTACACACCTACACTGAGGAGTTCAATTTACATTTTAGGCACTTGAATTCACAAGAGTTGAGCCTGCCCTCATCCCAAAGACAGCGCGTGTGGTGCATCAGTCAGATTAGCAGACATGCCCCCCACCCCCGATCCCCCCAGCGTCTCAGTCACAACCTTGTAAATGACGTTCACAGGGGAAGCTCTCGCTGTGAGAAGCAGCTTGCTACCTCACAGAAACAATACATTTTTTTTTACAGACACACAGTTAAGAAACTTTCGGGGAAAAAAAGTACCACCCCGCCCTCACCTCCCTACATTTGTACAGCGTACCTCACGTGGGATGACTCGGTCACGGTGCGTCTCGCCACCGAGCTGTCCTACTTCTATAAACAAATCCAAATAAAGAAATACCATGAAAGAACAAACAAATAAATAAATAAATTACATAAATGAACCACACGGGCAGTGCTAAAATGTCTTTACAGGAAGTGTGGAAGTAGTCAGTTCTCGTGTAGCGCAGCCTTCGCTAACCATTGACTCGTCATCCATGCGTGTTGACAGTACCTGACCTTGCGTGTGGCGCTTTCACGTTCAAGCCTACCGTCACGGAGAGCTCCTTGTAAAGCTCCTCGCATACCTGACGCCGACCTGTCTACGTGAATATTTTAAGCGACGAGAAACAGTGAAAGCAGATGATCATTCCACTCATTCAAAGTTAGGACAGTGGCTGTAATGACATGACCATCACAGATTATGCAGGCTGTTTTTTTTTCTCCATAAATCATTTGCATTACTAAGTGGATTAGTCACGCTCTCTTAATAGCAGCAAAACAGATGTTGAGTCTGCGAAGCAAGAAAAGTAAAACACCTAAAATATGAGTCCTGAAGTGCAGAAAAAGTTTTAGCAGGATAGAAGAAGAGTGTTCATTTCTCAGCCAGATGGTGAATTACTATAAGAATACTGCTCATAAGCAAGATCAAATCACACTAGCAAAACAGGAGAGCTGTTAAAAAAAAAGGAAAAAAAGTGCTGAGTTAGTCCAATTCAAAACCATAGAAATATAAAGAAAAATAAATCATGGTCAAATAAAAAGTGACTGTCTAAGCAAGGCTCAATGAGTAAAAAAAGACTGGCCAGAACGAGCAACATGTCGGCATTGGAAAAATCGTTGAAGAGATATGGTCGGGAAATAACAGAAGATATACGACAGTCACATAGAAATAGCCACGGCCTGAACAGGTCTTATATGACAGTCATAATCTGTAGTTGTTAATTGCTTTATAAATAGCCTGCAGGACATACATTACGGTCACGTGACTATAGCCACTGCCCTTAAAGGTGGGAGACAAAATCAACTTAGTGGCATTTTCAATGATGACGACAACAAGCCGCATCTCGCCAGTGCAAACCTTTTCTTAGAGTCTGTGCCTACGGGGGTCCGAGCGGGGCGGGGAGGGCGGAGGGGGCAGGGTTACGGTGGTAGGGGGATCGGCCGGGTCATTCATGGGCAGGACCAGGCGGGTGCCCCGGATGGCCACCTCGTGCTCGGCCAGCGCCAATTCGTGATCCAGGCCTTCGTCGGCGGTGGACGGGCGATGGCGCTTGACGCCGCTGGAGCCCGAGCCGTCCGTGCTGACGGTGACGTCGGCGTACATAGAGCTGGCGCTGGCGTCGTTCAGAATGAAGTCGGAGTCGTCGTCGTGGAGGGGCCCTTCGTTCTAGTGTGTGAAAAACAAGCACAATTCTTTTCACTTATGACATGTAGCTAAACAAAGTATTTCCTCCTAATGACAAGCATCCTGATAATTTCCTGTATTGTGCATATGCTGGCAATTACATACTTACATGAGTTTTTACAGGTACTTACGTGTGGTATATACAATTGGCCCATGTTAACATTTCAAGCATTTTAAATCCAAAAGTCAAGCAAATGCCTAACTATAACACATTCAAATTCACAGTCATTTGAACAATCTTCTAGGACGCACTTTTTCCGATGTGTTAAATAATGTAGTTAAAAGTTCAAACCTCATATGCTTGCGGGCTGGTGAGGCACCGCGCCAGTGGTCCGCAACAGGCGGGCAGAGTAGCCGTGAGAGGGGGGCCGCTATGCGTCAAGAGGGGTTTCAGGTAGCTACACGAAAGCTGTTAAGGACCTTCAACAAGGGTCAAGTGTTTTTTCTACCGCACTGACAGAACATATCTGATAAGCTAAGATCCACACAGCTTGGGACTCCATGAAATAACACTTGGTGTGCATCAGGGATGAATTTCAAGCCCTAGCTATTTAACTTTTGCTCGCTCTTGGTGGTGTCACTGAAGTATGACGCGAACATCCTTTCGTCTGACTAGACAAAACTTATCTCTGTGACACGTGATCACCCGGATGCAGACAACAATTTGAAATATTGTTTCCTCCGGAGCCTGCCATACATCACAATTTTATACCTGTGGGTGTATGTGTGTTTATGTGGATGAGTGGTGGGACAAGCTTGATTTTAACCATGCAAAGGACTTTGTGTTGTATGTATGACAATTGCTTTCCGAATAAAGTCTGTTTGATTGATAAATCATGTGTCTCAATTCTGTGTGATGTGTCTGTCTCAGGGTCTCTCACAAATACTATAAATAGCGCTGTATATTGAATTTAAACTTGAGGTATTAAATCAGAATTGAAAAAAAAACTATCTTGAAAATTCCACAGTGCACATCCACAACAAAGGATACTTGTGATCAAAGTTGTACCAGATCCTGAATGGCCAGGCGCTCTCATGCTTGGTGTTCCTCCTTTGTGAGCCATCCAGCACTCCGGAACTCTTGACAAGCAGAACATTCCCTTGCATGTTTTTATTTTATTTTATAAAGGAAAACCAACTGATTTCAACCTGTGATACTTACCGAGTGGTCTTGATCAGAGTCTACACCGACACTGAGGGGGGAAAAAAAAGACAGGAAGGCGACTTTAGAATAAAATATAAACAACTAAATAACAGATAGGGAGATGAACGGTCGGCTGCAGCCCTTACGGAATGCTCATGAAGGACAACATTGGCATGGTGCCGCCGCTGCAGATCCACACGGTAAAGAAGACGATCAGCAAGGTGGTAGAGAACATCATCTGGCGGGCGTAGGTGGCCGTGTCTCGGATGGACAGGGCGAAAGTCATCGCCCCACGCAGTCCTACAAGAAGAAGTGTAAAAATAGATCAGGTGTGGGGATAGGTACATCTCGATAAATTTGATTATCGCGCTAAAATTCATTTAATCTGACAGCTCAATTTAAAAAGTAAAACTCATAATATACGGTAGGTTCACTATTTCCTGATTTAAGGGGAAAGGAATTTACCCTCTGAAAAGTATTTTCCTAAACGTTTCTTGACATGAACTTTATACAGTACCATATTTAAATTTACTGACCTGCACCGGTACATACAGGCTGTGATAGCATTCGATCCAAAGCGCCATGCCGAAACAAATTAAAACCCTCAGGAGAACTGTTGTAAAAACGCTCACAATATTAAACCCACAAATACTGAGTATATATTCGAATAAACATTTGGGAGAGCTTAAATCTTGATTCAGGTCAAGTCATATTGCGACTGGGTTGATACATGGTCCATTACACCAAAGTATATGAATTTGTGTAACGTGTAAATGAACAAATAATCTCAAAAGCAGTCAGAAGTTGAGCACAGTACACGCTTGAGATGCAGTTTTCAGACCACCACGTCATACAAAAGTTTACACAACACTTCCCTCTGCTGGAGAAAAGAGGCAGAGGCCGATCATTCGTCTTTTCCTCACTGGTAAAAATATTCATCCAGTCAGTAGTTGTGTCATGCAGAAAACAAGAAAATAAAATGGCTATAATCTCCTCCCCCCCCCGTATTTGTCTGCAGACCGATACCAAATGGCCAGTGGCTGGGGACCAGTGACAACAACCTACCTGCAAACATCATGACGTGTTGGAAATTTGAGCCGATCTTGTTCTTGCGGCCCAGGTTGAGCAGGAAGGACAATGGGTAAATGTTTGCCGCCCTGCCCAAGAACACTGCGACCTATCGTAGAATTCTGATTAAGGGCAAAGCGCCATGGTTGAACAGTGAGGGAGGTATGCTGAATGGGATTAATGACGGGGAACAAAATTGTCACGGATTTAGCATCATAAATGCAAATGGCTAAATTTACACTGCATGGGTCAAGTGATACAATTCAGATTCCCTGGAGACAGGTGACGCAAGTGGGATGTTTGTCATGGCAACGTAACGACAGAAAAACTCGATTCAACCGGATTTGTTTGATCAAGAGCAGGCCTTTTCTAAATGTATCAGCTACGGCCAATGCCAAGTGCGACATTGGCAGTTGAGTAATGACAGGCTCATATCATGCCAACGAAACACCACACGGCAATTAATATTTGTCTTACTTTTGATGCTTGTGGAGATATTTACGTGTAATTAAGCCAACTGCCCATGCAGTTTGTTTCATATGTTCTGCCAGAGTAAACACAGCCATATCAGATAAATGTCAGCTGAAATGTACATTTACCGACATGCTATGTGCATTATATTTGTTAATGTTATTCAACCAACTGCATTGCTCATATCACTAACTTTGCTTATGTCACAATAATTTAAATCCTTTTCTGGGACTTTTTTTGGGATGATGGAAATGCACATTCGGAATTAAAAAGCCCTGAAAACCTCTTTGACAATGAGCTGAGTGAAGGATACAAAAGCCCCAATGATGAACAAAGGGTTGAAGATGTGCGACTGAAAGGAGAAGAGCGTCAGGCCCATGTAGGAGAAGATGAAGTTCTCTGCCAGAAAGTTGAGCAGCTCAAACAACTGTGTTGTGACAGGCAGTCAAACAAGCACATGATGAGAACTGGCTTTGCAATGTCTGTTGGCATTCTTTGTTGAATGGCGTGTCCCAGTTGGCGCTTACCTGTTTGGTTCGGTCCTGTGAGTCACGAGACAGATTATTGTAGGTGTAGTGAGCCTGAGTGATCCCGCAGAACAGCACGGCAACCACGCCTGGTTTTGGGTACATTCAGAACAGAACGTGACAGTTGACCACAATTTGAAAATGATTCAACAAATGTACAATGATATGACTGTGGTACCGGTAAAGCCGCAAGCCTCGGCCAACAGGAAGGTGCTCCAGGACATGAGGAAAAACAGTGCCGTCTCCAGCAAGGGTAAATCCCTCAGCTTGGTAAACTTGGTCACGTGATGGAAAGTTAAAGAAAAATCAGCAATCAGAAGATAATATGCAACACTTTATCGAAGCAAGACAACTCAGGAAATGCAGACGTCTGTAATTAGGTAGCTCTCAGTGGCAAGTCAACTTCTGATCTGACTTGAAAAAAGTCCCTAATGGGATTTTCTGTCTGTGCTCAACTGTGCAATATCAATTAAAACTTGGTTTGACATGACAGCATCGAACCCTGAAAAATGTTTCCATCTGATTTTAACACGAAAAAAAAAAAAAAACCACGATTTTTTTTTTTTTTTTTTTAAATCAAAGTGATGATTCCTCACAAAATACAATGAGAACACCATGATTGTAGTTCAAACCAACACTTGTGTTCCAAATGACTTTGGAGTACATGCATAACATTATCTTCAGACAATGAAATGAATGATTTAATATAAAAATGCGCGGTAATAATAAGGCAACAGGAAGGATATGAGCGCCGTCACCACACCGGTGGCCACGCCGAGAGCAAACGATCCGCTGAAGACGCCCAGGAAGATGCCAAAGGATTTGAGCATGGCCATGGCCTCAAAGCTGTGGCTGTTGTCCCCCGTAGGCTGGTAGGCCACAATGGAGCTGACAGCATAAATCATAAATGCAAATGGCTAAATTTACACTGCATGGGTCAAGTGATACAATTCAGATTCCCTGGAGACAGGTGACGCAAGTGGGATGTTTGTCATGGCAACGTAACGACAGAAAAACTCGATTCAACCGGATTTGTTTGATCAAGAGCAGGCCTTTTCTAAATGTATCAGATACGGCCAATGCCAAGTGCGGCATTGGCAGTTGAGTAATGACAGGCTCATATCATGCCAACGAAACACCACACGGCAATTAATATTTGTATTACTTTTGATGCTTGTGGAGATATTTACGTGTAATTAAGCCAACTGCCCATGCAGTTTGTTTCATATGTTCTGCCAGAGTAAACACAGCCATATCAGATAAATGTCAGCTGAAATGTACATTTACCGACATGCTATGTGCATTATATTTGTTAATGTTATTCAACCAACTGCATTGCTCATATCACTAACTTTGCTTATGTCACAATAATTTAAATCCTTTTCTGGGACTTTTTTTGGGATGATGGAAATGCACATTCGGAATTAAAAAGCCCTGAAAACCTCTTTGACAATGAGCTGAGTGAAGGATACAAAAGCCCCAATGATGAACAAAGGGTTGAAGATGTGCGACTGAAAGGAGAAGAGCGTCAGGCCCATGTAGGAGAAGATGAAGTTCTCTGCCAGAAAGTTGAGCAGCTCAAACAACTGTGTTGTGACAGGCAGTCAAACAAGCACATGATGAGAACTGGCTTTGCAATGTCTGTTGGCATTCTTTGTTGAATGGCGTGTCCCAGTTGGCGCTTACCTGTTTGGTTCGGTCCTGTGAGTCACGAGACAGATTATTGTAGGTGTAGTGAGCCTGAGTGATCCCGCAGAACAGCACGGCAACCACGCCTGGTTTTGGGTACATTCAGAACAGAACGTGACAGTTGACCACAATTTGAAAATGATTCAACAAATGTACAATGATATGACTGTGGTACCGGTAAAGCCGCAAGCCTCGGCCAACAGGAAGGTGCTCCAGGACATGAGGAAAAACAGTGCCGTCTCCAGCAAGGGTAAATCCCTCAGCTTGGTAAACTTGGTCACGTGATGGAAAGTTAAAAGAAAAATCAGCAATCAGAAGATAATATGCAACACTTTATCGAAGCAAGACAACTCAGGAAATGCAGACGTCTGTAATTAGGTAGCTCTCAGTGGCAAGTCAACTTCTGATCTGACTTGAAAAAAGTCCCTAATGGGATTTTCTGTCTGTGCTCAACTGTGCAATATCAATTAAAACTTGGTTTGACATGACAGCATCGAACCCTGAAAAATGTTTCCATCTGAGCCATTTGTCAGCGAAAAAAAAAAAAAACCACGATTTTTTTTTTTTTTTTTTTAAATCAAAGTGATGATTCCTCACAAAATACAATGAGAACACCATGATTGTAGTTCAAACCAACACTTGTGTTCCAAATGACTTTGGAGTACATGCATAACATTATCTTCAGACAATGAAATGAATGATTTAATATAAAAATGCGCGGTAATAATAAGGCAACAGGAAGGATATGAGCGCCGTCACCACACCGGTGGCCACGCCGAGAGCAAACGATCCGCTGAAGACGCCCAGGAAGATGCCAAAGGATTTGAGCATGGCCATGGCCTCAAAGCTGTGGCTGTTGTCCCCCGTAGGCTGGTAGGCCACAATGGAGCTGACAGCATAAACGTACACAACCTTAGAAAGAATAAAGGAAGGCAGGAACCACGAGAGGATATGGAGATGGACCGACATCAAATCAACCTGAATCCATGAATATCTGATAACCGGTGATTTAAACAGATTTGAGTCATTTTAAAGCATGCATGGGGTTTTCATTTGATGACGGGAGCATGGTAAACCAAGGAGCCCTGTTGCGTGAAAAAAGAAATCCCAAACTACTTGCATGAAATGGAGTTGGGACCCAACAGTGATCCAAAAGGAAAAGCAGATTGTTTTGAATTTGGGATATTTCCTCAAATAGTGGAAGCCAACTGCCATGCACGGATCAACCATGCTCTTCTAAAAACAAATGCAATTTCAGGGAACTGTCATCCAAAGTCTGAAAACATATAAAACACAAATGCTCCAAACATGTTATAATAAATATGTGATTGATTGTTGCATATATGGATTTTTTTTTTCAAATTTAATACGGCTCTCCGTGTCCTCACCACAATTAAACTAAGTAGGTATATTCTGAATTCTACCACATAATTTGATTCGTGTTTCCACATTTATGATGCCTTTCGGACTTTTGGGAAAAAAACGTTTTAACCAAAGCCAAAACAAACAAAACAATTATGAAGCAAACATTTGTGATGCCTTTAGGAAAAAACTTTTTTTTTTGTTTTAACCAAAGCAAAAACAAACTAAAAAAATTATTAAGCAAACATTTGAATAGATGTGACTTCGGCCACACTGCATTATTAATACATGTCTGTGACACCTGACTTCTGGAAACTTAAGCAGGGAACAATTAGCTCTGCCTACAACTGCACTAAATTATTGATAAGAACTGCAAATAAAAAGCACACAAATAGACTTCTCCTGTGACAGGTGCAACAATTCTGTCTCCTACCAAATACAGGCTGCCTTCAGAAATAAAGGCCTTGTACTTTCTAGTACACAAAAAGTTGTGTGCACTTTTTGAGGAGATACCCGATGACTCATTTTGTGGACCCCCAATATGCCACAACCAAACACAAAGCCCAACCACCCACCGAGGAATGACTGTCTGGTTCTTCCTCAGCCATTCCTCCTCGCCCTCGGGCCGCACAATTCGAGCCCCCCGCCTACTCTGCTTCTCCAAGCGGAGAACAACACTGCATGCATACGTACGGGTAGGTGATGAACGACACAGACGGATGAATGATGGAAGGCCGGCGGTGAAATGACATGAACTGGTGTTAGTAAAATGATTATTTGTAGAGAATTTTGCCAATACGTGCTGGGATTATGGGAGTTTGTTTAGATTTTTTTCCAGTGGGGTGTCAAGAAAACTTACGATGAGAGGACGATGGCCACGGCATCATTGAGCACGCTCTCCCCAAAAAGTAAAGCATACAGGTCCACGTCTACCTTCAGCTCATTGAAAATGGCAAGCACCGTCACTGCAACAAAAAGAGTAGGAAGGTTTGATGTCCCTTTTTTTTTCCAGAGCGATACCAGTATGAGTATTCACTCTTTGAGAATGTACCGGTACCAAGTACCAAGACGTCTAGTTCTCCTTTTATTTATATGACCGTTGGAAATGGGAAAATATCACTTAAAACAATTGCCGTATTATTCAGAAAGATTTTATGATGACAAAAGTGTGAAGCCAGGAACTAATTTATTCAGCTATTTTCCCTATGGGACAAATGTGTTTTAAAATGTGAACAACCAAGAAGTCACCCGGCAGCTTGATTGACCCTGAGGGGCAAAAAATCATGACGCTGGCTCATGCTTCAAAAGGTCTCGCATTGACTAATTTTTTTATTTTTTATTTTTTTATGCCAGTGTTGTACCTGGGTCTGTCGCCGATACGATAGCCCCGAAGAAGAGGCAGTCGGTGAAGTAAAAATCTCCCCCGAGCTGGCCCACTACTTTCATGAAGGACACAAATCCGTACATGATGAGCCTGGGGGCCAGTACAGCAAGCCATCAGACATTGGGAGGCTCATAGTAGTTACACCATATGAATGTGAACAGACCACTTACCCAATAATAAAACAGGATATAACAGTTCCCATGAAAGCGTAGGCCAGGATGGAGCCAATGTTGCGGAAAAAATGTCTCTGACACAGACGAGGACAAACATTTATTAAAATTTATAGAACCTACTGTATGAGAACTCAGTCTGAAGTCACATTAATCATACAAAAACATTGTTGGTGAGCAAGCTACAGCTCCTGGACAATTACTGGCAGGTAAAAGCACTTGATCGAGCCCACAATCAATTCTTAAAACAAATGAAAGCAATGCTAGAAAACCCCCGAAACAACAACGTTTTTTCAGTTTAATGATCATGCATTGTGTCCCAACACTTTTGTCTACGTAGAGTCTTGAAAACAGTTAATTTTTAATAATTGTGCTTTAGATCGCCTTACCCGTTTTAGACTGTAGCCAGCATGGAAGATGATCGGCGGCAGCAAAATATTGAAAAAGACTTCTGGGTCAAAAGTAACCTGAAGAAATGTAGCAGATAATAAATGAGGGTTTAGCCACTTTTGTACAATCTTTCTGCAGTTCTTACTAAGGGTTTAACAACTTCAGATTTTCTGTAGTTGACTTGGAGTAACTGATGACATCATGATATTTATTTTTTCTATTTTTTATTTTTTTTTTCAGGTTGTCAACTTGCTATCTTCGCAACTTTGTGCCTTCAGGCAATTAATTGAATTCCAACAATCAAAACTTGAAATTATGAACAATAGAAAAAATGTTTTTGTGAATACATTGAACGTTCAATACATTATAGAAACAATAACAACATAGAAATACATAAATAAAAACATGAACAATGACTACACGGTCTCGCCTTACCTTTCTCAACATCTCGTCATCCTGCACTTGGTGGCCTTTGCCACGGCTGACTTCGCCCTTCAGCGTGTACTCGTAGAATCGCCCACTGACATTCACCAACAGGGTGGCAGGACTGGCGTTGACCGCGCAGCCCTGCACCACGTCGCTCATGCTCGGGGGCACGTGGACGCCAAACCGCAGGATCACGCCCACCAGAAGGCCTTCCAGAGAGGAGAGAATGAGAGTCAAGTGGTGTTCAAAGTTTGTCTGCAAATCCATTATTAGTCATGATTGGCCACCATCTATTTGCATATAAAGGCAATTATTCCAGTTTTTAGAGAAGTTGCAGTTATCTTGTATATTCACAGCCTCGAAATGTGTTTCATGCAAATATTTACTGCATCTTTGACATTTTTGAGGTTACAAATGGTGGACACTGTACAAGGTAGAGCAGCGGTGCAAAAATATGCAGAAGGCACACTCAGTTACCACCGTACTTGTCATTTTTCATTTAATTGTTTCATATTTATGACATGTGGGTGTTTTTACACTCTAACATTAGTAGTGTGTGTTATTAGAAAGCATAATAAGGAGGAGTGCTGTTGAGTGCATTTTCATGGGGGTGAAGGGTTATGGGGGAAAAGGTTGATGGCATTTCCATTCATTTCAATGGAGTGGTCACAGTCCAGCAACCACTGTACTGTAAGCTGTCAAATTAGCTTAGTGCAGCTAACGCCATCATTTAGCATCCAGTTAGCTATTTAGCATGATCGCTACAGGGCGTCAATGGGTGGTTCGCTGGAGGCTGGTGTTCTTACCATAGATCATGGCGAGTCCCGTTTCGTGCAAGAACCTAAAGCGCCTGTGCTTGAAGAGCCATATTGTGAGAATGGTGAGCGTTAGGAGCATGATGAATATGAGCAGGTTGGCACTGTCTTGGCGGTGACTTTCCTCAGCCAGCCTCTCGGTTGCGACGTTGTCCATCGCGTTGCCCTCGCCTCTCCCGACGAGGACGAAGGACAGCAAGGCGAACGGCAGGGACCGCAGCGCCGTCGGGTATTCAACGTGAAGAAGGGGGCTTAATTGCGTAGACGCCATTGTGTCTGTACTGGCCAGCAACAGTAGTAGTATCAGGCAAAGCGCAAAGTCCCCGTGACACACCACAACAAACGGATTCAATTTCCGAGCTGGTGTCAAAACAAAAGAACTTCCGGTTATTAAAAATAAGAGCGAACGTATGATATAAATTAAAGAAATATAATAAAGATAGAACATAGAACAATAATTACAAATAAATAAAACATATAAAACATGCTTTGAAAGCCGTTGGATGGTGGTGTTGATTCCAATGTACTTATCAAGTACTTATCATTTATATCCACAAATGTAAACACTGCTGATTTTTTTTTACATTTTTATAATCAGAGATGCAAATAACCTTTTCGAGATGATTTTTTTTTTTTTTTGGTTTGGGAGGCGGGGGTTGATTCCGTTTTTAAATCATCATCATCATCATCATTTGTCTGACCTTCTTTTATAACATGTAAGATTGTGTGGGTTTTACATTCACAGGTAAAGTTCCACTTCACGCACATTTGAGTGTATGTTAGTTAATATCTTCAAAGTAGTTTCCTCTGGCAGGAAACAAAAGCCAAGGGTGCAGTCGAACACATGATGGAAAGTGATACAGAACTGATGTGCCCATTCTGTAGTCACTTCCTCAGAAAAACTGAACTTCGGTAACCAAACTCAAAATATGATCTGCATCCAAATGTGGGCTTGATCTTTTCAAATACTTGAATGCGAAATCCAGAGTACCTGTTTTGGCAGGGGTAATATTCCAAATTAGGCCTACAATCCGAATAATGTTTTGATGAGCAGCATAAATGTGTCCACTAATGATCGTTGTGTTATCTTTCACATCGTGCGAATGTAAATACTGAATAACTCGACAGTTTCCGCTGACAGGAAGCAGAACCCACTGAAGTCAAGCGCAGGAAAAAGAAACAAAACCAAATGTGACACATTCCCCTCACATGTAGCCGCACCAACGCTGAAATCATCCACGTTCTTCTGCTCCATGATGCTGAATAAATTGCTGTTACTTCTCTGTCTAGGGGGATCCGGTTTTGCCAAAGAACCTCCAGGTAAGAACATACAACGTTGTATTCAATTAAGGGTGATTTGATTTAGTGTGATTGTACTCTTTGGAAATGCCTAAAAGGTCAAAGTTGTTTCACGCTTAATGGAGATGATCATGTGAAATTTTCATTTGAATGTAATTCACATTTGAACTTCACTGAACATTTTTCGGAACCACAAACTGATAGCTTTGCGGAAGAGCGCGAGTGAAACCAAATTTAATCAGTCATCTGATTTTTTTCATTGAATGTGGCAATTTGGAAAGCCCGGTTTTAGTGAATTTGTTTTATCGTATTTTGTCTTGACAGATGCCGACTGTGTTGTTTTGCATTTGAAGTTTGTTAAATGTACCTGGAACAGATACGGCAATGTAACAGTCAATTACACCTTCAACAGCTGGTGAGTTCAAATAAAACGGTTTTGAATTCCAAAGAATTTCTCTTTCATTGGATCAAGTGTGTGCCTGATAAATATGTGCTTTGTTTTAACTGGAAATCGTTACTGCTGGGGTTACTTTTTGTATGACGGTGGGGATTTTTCTTCCACAGGTTTGAGGGTGAAGATGCCAGAGCGTGTGAGATGTACCTGACAAACAACAGCATAAAAACCGGCTGCATTCAGCCGTATGGTGACAAAAACAACAGGTTCAGAACGTTTCACATGCAACTGGTGCATGGCAACGACACTTTTCCGAAGACTGCTGACCTTAAAAGCAAAGGTAAGTGTACTCCAATTCGACCACATATTTGTGGCAAATCTGTACTGCCGAGAAGTGGGATGAATGTATTATACTTGACAACCCAGTGCTAACATTGTTTTGAATAAATAGCATAGTTACTTAAAATCGTTTTCTGGGCCACCTTAAAATTGTAAATAGCACAGCCACCTTATCTATATCTATATTTATATTGCACTTAATTGAACGGTGTACATTGAAACTGAAACATTTATTTTGTGAATGCAAAGCACTTTGTTTTTCTTCTTTCTTCTTTCTACCCACAATTTTGCTGCTGTAGACTGTAAATTTCCCCAGTGTGGGACAAATAAAGGATATCTTAATCTTAATCTTAAAAGTACTGGTAGATAAAAAGATGCAACTAAATCATTTTGGACTCACGCGTGAATCATGTTTCACCTGCAGTGAAGTTAAATCCGCCAACCAACCTGACTGTTCAGAATGGATCAGACTGGAATCTGTGGTTCTATTGGAATCAGACATTTGCATGGTGTGTGCAAAATGAGGTTCGCTACAGGACCAATTACAAGAAGTGGGATGTGAGTAACCTGATGTTGACAGAGTCATGCTTGGTATATTTTCTTTGTCATCTGCACCACCCTTCCATTTGAAATACTTTGTGCACTCCGCAGACAAACACTGTCAATCGAGGGAAGCTAAATTACTGCATCAACTTACCCTCCAGTCGTTCCCGGTATGAGCTTCAGGTGAGAAGCAGATTTCATGAAGCATGCGGAGCTTCTGGCTGGAGCGACTGGAGTGAGACTGTGATGTGGGGATCAAACACAGGCCCAGGTAAAAATGCTCCTTGAACAATTTTGGGAAAAGTCAAATCATCTCATTTCTCCTTGTCACAGAAAGTGATCAAGGCATGGTCGTGTGGATAACTGTGTACGTTTTGGCTCCCGTCATACTCATCCTAATGGTCGTGCTGTTGCTGCGTTATGAGAGGTGAGACTGATGGCGTCAATTGGTCCTTAGGCCTTCATCCATTTCCTAATATGGCCACTATCATGTCATATTAATGTATGCAGATTATTGCTGACGTGTTGCTAGTTGAAGTTGACTATAACATGTTTAGTTCTGACCAACCAATCAGGCCCTGTGCGGACGAATTTGAAATCTAACTGGTCAAAGACATAGAAACTGTCCGATTGCTTAAAAAAAAAAAAAGTACTATCTATTCTATTTACAAAATTGTCCCTCACTCTCTCACACAGGTTCAGAATCATCTTCATTCGGGTTGTACCGAAACCATACTTAAATTCCATTGGGGAAAGGAGCAACCAGGTAGAAGTTTCCCAGTTTTATTCCAAACCTATTATTATATGGAATACGAAAACACAATGGAAATATTTTGTTAATTGTCTAAATATTCCTTTCTTGAAGCCTTGGCCTCAACTCTCCAAAGTTTTTAAAGAAGGCTTCAAGGCAAACTACCACGAGCAGCCCTGTCCTGTTCGAGAGTACCGTCAGGTCTCCCAATGACCAGTCTGACAGCCAAGGCTCGAAAAGTTCCACATCCAGTTCCCCTCAGCACAAACCAAACGGACCACTCCATCCTCACAGACAAACTAACAAGCAAGAAACATCCTGTTCGTTGTCCACCTCAAGTCTTTACCAATTCTTTTTATTCCGGAGCTCAGTTTTTTGTTGTTGTTTTTTCTTTTTAATCATCTTATCGGGTTAGGGTTTCACCATGATGTATTGGAAGTGCCTGATCAGTATGGTCAGCAAGACATGTATAAAACAAATTATGAAATTCAGATTAGGATAAAACAGAAGTAAAATCACTGACTGTGTAGACACCACTTGCTTCTTTCTACCTGTCAGTAAATTTTCCTATCCACTCTTATTTTGCTATTGACAAATTTGAAGTAACTACGACTTGCAATTGGATAACCTGCATGTACAGTATCACTTCTATTTTTAAGTTTCTCAATAAAATACACAATAATTCTCACAAAAAGGATTGGCACGAGGACAACTTATTTTTATCCGTATATTCAGTGGGCTCTATTGCTAGGGGGGCTCAAAGGTAAAACATTTGTCAAAAACATACAACTTTTCTGAAAGTGTGGCCCTTGTAATCTTTTATGGATTCCCCCGATCTTGCATTTCAACTTGTATGCATGCAAAAGACGTCATTTCAAATGTTGTGTTTTAACTCTATTGCTGTGAAGTTCGGGTGGGTAGTCTAGGCCAGTCCAGTTGTCTCGATTGGGGGAGTCCAGTGCGGGTGTCCGACACAGCACAGAATTAAGCCGACACATGTTCCCGTTTCAAGAAGGGTGGGGCGCAGGGCGGCTGTCCCCGGCTAAAGGAGACGCTCATCGGCTAGTTCCTTAGCTGAACCCGTCAGCCACCGCAATTAATTAATGTATCCGCGTGATATTTGCACATTTTCGGCGCATCCACTTTTTAATCTGACATTCTTTCGAGGGTGAGAGAAACAATTGCAGCCCACCAAAATGTCAGAGGCTTCGGTTGCTGACACTCGCCGGCTCAATTCCAAGCCCCAGGACCTCACGGACGCATACGGTCCACCCAGCAATTTTCTGGAGATAGACGTTCACAATCCACAGATCGTTGGAGTGGGGCGGCACCGGTACACAATTTATGGAGTTCGAATGCGGGTAGGTGTTTCATAAGGCGACCGAAGAGCTTTTAGCCGGTGTACTAACGTCACCGACTCGGAGGAACATGGCTGTGACGCCTGGATTGGTGCCTCATCGGTGCTACAGCGGAACTCTAGTGCCGGGGATTCCTCGCGGCCTAGTGTGCCGTTGCGATGGAGGACTTTGTTGTAGCATGAAAAGTGTATTCGAATTACGTTTAAACTACGCAACGCAGGGGGAAATGTTTAAGCAGCATTAGTTTCCCCGAATATAATTTGAACCACAGGAAAATGCGTCTCTTGTAGTAAACACTGCTAGGCTATGTTAACCGTAAACAGCTAACACTGTGCGCTACGCGGACATATGAATTTGAATTTAGCCCAGTCCACGTTTACTACTAGTTTACAAAACTGTGATGTCATCTATGTATGTACGTTGATCAATTATTCAATGTATGCTGTTACAGTTTTACAAAGCATGATAAAAAAAAAGTTTAGCTTGTCCACCTGTCAGCAATTGAAGCCAGTGAGTTTCACTGAGTACACTTGTATAAATAAAACTTGGTTCATACATATAGCTGCAGTTATTCATTCAAATATTTGATATACACTTTTGTTTATTTAAGTGTTTCTCGGTGCCCCTGTTGACTTATTATACGGCCTCCTCCAAGCAGTTTTAACAGCTACCAAGTTAGCGTCGTTAGACTGATAGGAAGCAGTTTTTGCTGCCCTTGCATTGTTGAATATTCACTCGGTCACATGTCCCATTTGCAGTTCACTGACTGTTCCGTTTTCTCCTTGTTATTCACGCAGACCAACCTCCCCATTTTCAAACTGAAGGATTCCAATGTAACCAGACGATACAGTGACTTTGAGTGGTTAAAGAATGAGCTGGAGAGAGACAGCAAGGTGAGTGATGCTAACAAGACATATTCTCGGTTTGTCGCTGATTTTTTTTTAATGATCTTTAATCATTTTCTATCAGATTGTAGTACCACCTCTCCCGGGTAAAGCCTTGAAGAGACAGTTGCCATTCCGCGGCGACGAAGGGCTTTTTGAGGAGTCGTTCATTGAGGAGCGGCGAATGGGTTTGGAGCTATTCATAAACAGGTCAATAAATGCGCCAGATCTCTAAAGAAATGCTTACAGTCGTACCTTCAAATTAAAAAGGCCTAAAAGTCGAACATCCCTGGCTGAAAAAGTTACCTAAAAACTTGTGGTTCCATCCTCCATCTTGCGTGATGCTAAACCCACACTGATTTTATAAATGTGAGTGATCCTCCCCATGAGGTGGAGAAAAAAAAACAGGCATGTGTGACATGATTATTGGTCTCAGGTCTAGTGTGGTCGAGTCACACACAAAATGATGTCTGGTGTTGTACCAGGATGGACCTGTGAGAGACAGTGTGGTGCAAGAGGGCATCCAGATTTGAAAGAGCATTGAAATTTCTAAATTTGGGGGTCATTCATCCATTTTCAATACCGCTTGCCTGTCCTGAACAGGGTTGCGGGGTTTGTGGGCCATGTCACACTTAAGAAAGAAGATAAAAAGTGCAAGGTGTTCACTGCAAAACAGAACTTACTAACTTGTTACAGCACTATGTCTATGGGGGATTAAAAAAATCAGACTAGGGTCCCAGAATACCATTTCCACTGTATACATAACCATATCACAAAGTTACAAATATGTTACTCTTATAGGTTATCGCATATTAAAACAATAATACAGTTGTATTCATCCACTCGTGTCCCAAGTTACATTTTACTATGCTGTGTGTGTTCCTCTTTAGAATTGCAGGTCACCCTTTGGCCCAGAATGAGCGCTGTCTGCACATGTTCTTGCAGGAGGCCGAGATCGACCGGAACTACATTCCCGGAAAAGTACGACACTAGGTTTACAGGAGGAAGGGGGAGGCGGGTGGTGGGGCTTTAATTAGTCTCCTCTGGGATGTAGAATGGACTTCTTTCTCATTATCAAAGTCAAAACATACAATTTCTGCACATGTTCTTCCACTGTGCACCTATGTGGCTCATCTCTTGTGTGCACTTTTGTTTTATAACTACAAGCTGACAGTAGTTTTCATTGTACAGTGAAATTCTGGCTTTTATTCCAAAATACAACAAGCTAGATGTACTACTTCCTCCCGTGAGTGTCATAATATCATGATTGTAATATACTGTGAATAAAGTAGATGAATGTTGAAGTGTGTCATACAATTTCTCTGATCCTGTTTTGTTCTCTTTTCTGTTTATTTTTTTTCTTTAGGTATGAGTGAAGTAAGTTTTCTTTATTTATAATTCTCACCCAAAGGTTTTCAGTTGCATGAGCTTTTTAAAGACTAAAGGCGATAGTTCATGAAGCGCTAATACAAAAAAACAAAAAATCATACTTTGTAAATATGCCCCATTCACCCATCGCCTTTGGTTTTTGCAATTTATAACAAGTTTGAAAGAAAATAAAACAATGCAAATGTAAAAGCATTCTGCAAGCATTACAACACTTGTTGTAATTCTATTGATTGGACTTATGTGAACTATTAGGTGTTGAAAGGAGTAATCTACAGCACCCATTAACAGAAATCTCTCCTAACCAAGTTTGTCAATTAACTGCACTAATACCCAGCTGCATGCCAAACCTGCATGCTTTTTTAATTTTTTTTTACAGTATATGTGCATTGTAATCAAGCTGACTTGTGATTTCACATGCGTTTTTTTTTTTTTTTGCTGAATACTGACACATGCTGCATCTTCATATTAACAATGAGCAAAGCTTTCATTCTCGCTGTCTGGACAGTTCGGCAATAAAACGACTTTCTCTGGCTTTTGTCATTCAGGTAATGTCTTAACATCATTGCCGCGTTATACTAGTGTTATCTTGATTGGCAACACTGCACACTGCATGATGTGGCTTGGATGGCTTCATTTCTTGGATAGGGCGGCACGGTGAATGACATGGGCCTCACAGTGCAGAGGTGCAGGGTTCGATTCCGGCTCTGGCCTTCCTGCAGAGAGTGTGCATGTTCTCCCCGTGCCTGCGTGGGCACTCCGGTTTTCTCCCACTTTCCAAAAACATGCATGGCAGGTTAATGGAGCACTCTAAAATGTCCCTAGGTATCAATGTGAGCGTGAATGGTTATTCGTCTATGTGTGCCCTGTGATTGGCTGGCAACCAGTTCAGGGTGTATCCCGCCTACTGCCCAAAGACATCTGGGATAGGCTCCAGTACGCCCTCAACTCTTGTGAGAATAAGCGGATTCGAAAATGGATGGATGGACTTTTTTTTTTTTTGTATGACCAGACTCACCACATAAGGCTACCCAGTGATGAACAGGTTATTGAACTTTAATTACAGCAGTTTTAATATTTAAATTTCCATCAGTTACTTGGAAGTTAGTTACAATCAGCACATTGGGGGCGTACAATTTGTGGTCAACATTTCCTCTGGATTCGTTCGTCACTTAGATTACTCATTTCCCACCTTCTGGGAAATAATCTTAGACTCTTGTGCAATCTTTCACAAGAAGTGCATAACTCAAGCCCTACTATTAGCCACTCTCTTTGTAACTTGCTAAGAGGCTCTTAAAAGCCCCTAAATGGTACCATCAAAAGATGACGATAATTTTTTGTGATTGACACGGTCATCTGGTTGTCAAATAAGATTAGAAACAGCTAGTAATATAATGCCGTACAGTTCTACACCACAGCTGGCTAAACCCCAAATAATGAAGATTTTGTGAAGTGAATACGGTTAAAGGGTATCAACCAAAAGGCCGTTTAAATTTAAATAGAGCTCTTGCACATTTTGTAGTGCAGAAAAGTGTTTATGTACTATAATAGCATGTTTGTCAGTGCTTTGAGTTGAAAAAAGAAAAAAAAAAGTCCCGTAACTAAAGGCTGGATTTACACTGCAAGGCTCAAGTGACACAATTCAGAAATGAGTGATGGTGATGTTAACGGAAAAACAATGAAATCTGATATCTTAAAATGGTAATCGGGGCTTTTCCAAATGTGGGTAAAAAATATTACCCTATGGACAGTACTTTTGATGATCTGATAGCTACTGGTCTCAAGTAAAAACTTAGTGTTGTATTTGAAATTAATTGTCTTTTCCCCCCAGAGTTGCAAATACTTTTTTGTGGAGAAGCAGAAAAATAAAGACATTAAAACCCCTCTTTAAATTGGACTTGGGTGCTTGACCACCACCCTGAAGGACTTCTTGTGTACAACTTTGCAGTTTATTGTTTGTTTGTTTGTTTGTTTTTCTCTCCAGTGCCAAAACAAACGCCTGCACCTCCTCCTTTTCTTTCCACATCTTGTCAGTTTCAAGCCGGTGGAGGAAACGACACAATTATTGCTCCAATGTGGAAATCATTTGTTGTCTCTGTCATTTCTTTTGTGTGCATTATTAAGTGGTCGGTGAAAAATAATGTTTTTTTTTTTTCTCTAGAATGATGATTATTTTCCAACTCAAAGTCCGTCAGACGAGCGTTAATCAAGTTTGCTTTGTGTTTGCTTTTGGTCACTAGTGTGTGACGACGATGAGAACCCCCACCCCTCCCAAAGTTAAGCAACATGTAGCATCATAAAAAAATACGCTTACTTCTGTTTATTCTGTACGGGCTTTTACATGGGACCGCTCTCATTTACGCACCTACGACTGAGTCGTCACGTCTGCAGCTATTTCAAATGTTGAATTAAAGCAAGCAAATATGAGCACTGTGAGGGTTCATGACACAAACACATTTTCATTGTTTTGAATAATCACCGGATCTCAAGTAAGTCGTCTCTGCCTATGATTTTCTTTTTTTTTCCTCAATTCCATAAAGATGATTGTGAAGTGTATTAATACTGTACATGTTATCATTCCAGTTCTACTCTGAGTACCGAGGAATTTCGCTCTTATTTTTCGGTCTGACTATTAAATTTCCTGCCGCCCGCTGTGTCACGTCTGCAAATCCTTTCAGTCAGGAGAGGGAAAATAAGTCCGTGAACGCAACAAAGCTCCACTTTGAGTTGGAAATGTATCAAGGGAGCCGCGTGATGAGAGGCCCCACGCCGGCGGATGACCTAGTTTGTTCAATGGGAACCGCTGAAAAGGAACATCTATGCGCAACGTGTGATTGTACCGATGTTAATTGCACGTTTCCTCCTGGCTTTTGTCATACCTTGCTGGCAGAAACGAGGCTAGTCATTCACAGAATATGTCTAATAAACAGGATTCAACCCTCGAAATCTCAACTAGAATGTCACTTTAAGAGCTCTGCCAAGTTTAACTACAGCTCGTGCCACAACTCACAAGTTCACGACGCTTGTATAGCTCAAATCAACTTTCCCTTGTGAAATGAATGGGCAAAAGACGAACACAAAATTGTGGCACGTTTTCAAGAACAAAAATAAAAGTAGCGATATTGGGCATGTATAAAAACATGCAGCGAGTTCATTAAAGAAAAAAAAAAGGATCAAACGATTTTGAAATCACAATTTCATGTTTTAATTCAATGAATAGTGTGCTGTTCCTTCTGTTGGGTGCGTCTTGGCCCCTGGATAAGACCTAAGCAAATATCACATCCAAACTCGCAGCGGTAATAATATTTGTTTTTCGCAGAGAATAAAAAATATGCTTGGCCTGTCCATTACTTTCAATGGGAAAGATGACTGATTTTCAAGTCACCTCTATATACTGTCTTTACAGTAATTATATGTATCATCTTTCATAGATTTGTATACAGTATTGTCTCTTTTTTTCCTCTCTCAACACAGTGAAATGAGCAAATAAGTTCGTCTCTCAACACTTTCAGTCAGAGGCGTGCCAAAAATTACATTTCTTCCTCAGCCACCCTTCGCAACATTTCATGGAAAGTGACAGTCTTTTTTTTTTTTTGCGTATGGCTATCAACTAGCAAACGCTCAAAACAATGCCTCTCACTTTCATATTTTGGCCAACCGAAGGAATCAACCGCAAGTAGCAAGCAGGAAGTGTCACAATAAGTACAAGCTCGGGCTTTGGTTGATGTGCAAATGCAACACTGGGCCTTTTTGTTTCACTACACATGAATCCCCAAAGCCCTTTTTCCTGTTATTGCTCTCTCGCAGTAGGGGATTAGGCGGCAAAGGGGGCATTCTGACTGGCCGCAGGTGGATTAAAGTCATCCCAGAAATAGTGATCTTGTGATGTCGATCTTGACATGACTATAATTGGACACAATTGTGTTATGGCCTATCGGAATTCTAAACATGAGAGCCAAGTCTGGCTTCTCATGGTTCCGTGTAAGCGCTATGACTTGGTTCTATTTGTTTACACTGCGCGTGCATTGTATTGTCTTTGATTTCGGTGTATCCTCTCCATTCACAAGGACATATTTTTAACTACCAATAACAAGCATACATATGGTGGAACCTCCGAAGCCGAGTACAATTTGTTCTGTGGTGCTAGTTGACTTTCAAATGTTTCTCTTTTCAAAACATCGGACGTCGTGAATGAAATATTTTCCAGTGCCATGACAACTTTTGCGCAGGGTTGGCCAAATTTGCTTTTTAAAATAAACGGATGGGTCAGGTCGTGAAATGAGGTTCACATGTATGGAAAATATTTTCTGTGATAAAAAAAAAAAATAATTAAAAAAAGCGTTTAGTCATTCATATTTTTTTTCTTATTTATCATCAGTAAATATAATTAACCAATTCTTTAGTTATTCATGTACACATAAAACTGTTTATTGCATTATTTACAATACCCGTCATATATAACCGGTGTCAGAGTTATACCCGGACAAGTTTAAACATAGAAGTCGACTCAGGGAAGGTTGTCGGTGCAGCCGACGGGAGCGGATCTCCCAGAGCGAATGACGGGCAGTTGCTCCATGACCACATTCAAAGTTCCTCGTCCTTCTCGTCTGTCTTTTATTGTTTACATATGTAAAATACAAGAAAAACACTGACCCCAACATTTGCATACCACGCCCCCAGTCCGGCCCCTCAGCGGTGATTCGATTAACTTTTGTCAAGCTTTGAACCAAAGATACTTTAACACTGTCATGTCTGGTCTCCCACGAATAAACAAGTCGCAGACTTCGCAGATGACTAATGTTCACCTAGGCACGACCAGTTCCCAGACCATCTTTTGATGTTCTAAAACACTTCGTTCCTAAACTGTTTACTCCCAAACTGTAAGGCGATTACTCCCTGTGGACTTCAAAGAGCGCTCGGGCCCAACACCCTTGCACAGATATTTGGGGGCGTGAAATATACAACCCGTCTAGACAAACCTAAATTAAATGGGACTTTAAACATATTCTGTTTTGTAGATTCCTCTAACAACCGGCTATACAAGAGTTGATGGGTAAAGATTTTTGCACGTCACAAATCAGAGAACTTATGAATGAAACACCTTTATTCCTCATTAACTATATAATATTCATCCTTCTCTCAAAGAAAATCTCAACACACTTGTGCATAAATCTGAACGATTTTGGAAATCTAATTGCTATTTTTTTCCCCCATGTCAATATCGCGATTGCGATTCATTATGCGATCTTTCAAGGTCATCCATCTCCCTCGACTTTGTTGAGAATGTTGATTTACTTCCAAATTGCCAGTTGCCCTTTTTCTGCATTCAACTTCAGAGCTTGCGCTTCATTTTGTATTCATCATGTGCTTTGGCGCATTCAGTAAAAACGTGTTGCCTTGAAAGTCCCCAGTACTCATACTGGGTTGACCTTCCCGGTCAATTAGCACTGCAACCCGCAACACAAAACAGCTTTGATGTGCTGGCCTTGTCCTGAGAAATGAAAGTGGACACGTATGATGGGCACAGCGGTCCAAGGCAGAGATTAGGTCGTGTTTGGTTAGTGGTTCCAGCGCTCTGCAATGACATCCGTGTTTGTAGAGACACCGATTGGGGGTTTAGCTTGATAAAGTGGAAATAAATCGAAAGAGCAGCGAGGGCGAGCAAGGACAAAAGGGGTGTTGCTCAACCGATGGCAGGGGGCCGGGGGGAGATTTTTTTAAATTTTGGAATCCGTTGGATGTCAAGTTAGCTCGTCCTGAAAGTCAATTGAATTAGTCTCATAAATGCTGCAAAACAAAACAAAAACAGTGTGAATGATCGGAGGTTGGCAGGGTCTACACCAACAAATTATTCGCTATTCCTAACATCTGGGTGTGTACACGGTTGACTCAAGCAATGACACAGCGACTGTCTCTTTCTATTGGACCATCACGCCATGTTTTGAAAAATTTCAGAATATCTTGTGACAGGTTTATGGCCTTGCTTACAAGACAATGGAGAGTTTGCTCTCACTTTCAAATGAGAGATGTTTGAAAAACTTTCATTCATTATCTTATTACAAAAAAAAAACGACATGATTTTCTTTCACACAAGACCTCAAAACGTGCTTACTACTAATCTTATGTTTTCAATACCAATTCAATACATGCATTTAGACACAATCCTGCAAAATAAATGGGACAAAAGGAAGATGAAGTCTATGTTTTGAAGAGGTGTATAAGCACTCTTGAACATTGCTCTTTAATTTTTTAAAAGTTGTTTATTCATTATTATTTTTCTAGAGTTGTCCCAATCCAATCATGTGATCGGAAGTCAGGGGCCGTCATCGGCTGCAAAAAATCTGATTTTTTTAAAATTATAAAGTCAAGAATAAAAATTTTGTTTACTTGATTTGAACCATTGCTGACTTACACCTATATAAAAGGTTATCATGTTGGTATATCTTTATTCGAAAAACATTTTTAAAATGTTTTAAGATAATTAAGACCATTTAGATGTGCTTATTTGTAATGCATTCCCAAGACTCGGACTCAGACTTAGGTGCAAAAATATGTAATTGGGATATATCTATAGTTTTCTTTTTATGTTGTTTTAGCAGCAGCGGTTGTACTACCTAAGTGGCTGCAGGCTCCACCAAAGACAGCTTTCAAAGGAGGGCGGAGCCTATCGCTCGTTTCTTAATATGGGCATATTCAGTAAAGCGCGCGCACATTTCAAAGTGACTCATATCTGTCCTAAATCATACCGCTAACTTTTTTTAATCATGTTTGAAAACGTGTAGGCCCCAATCTATGGATTGGAAGGGCGTACTCTGTGACGTCACTATGTTTACAAACACCCACCTACTCGCTCGCACACATACAAACCCACACTCGCTCACACACGCCTACACTTACTCTCCGCCTCCGCCCTCCTTCCGAGCAGATCAAAAGCACATGCACGGAGCTCGAGAGTGATATTTCATCAGCAATCAAGCACAACGCTCTACTTTATCCTGATTCTGTACGCGCTTGGTTCAACCAGCGTTCAAGGTAAGAAACGTTTTCTTTGCTTAAAACGTGGCTTCGACATTTTAAAAACACTATTTTGGCGGTCACCCGAGTCGACTGACGCAATCATTCAAGTCGCTTTCCCACAATAACCGGCGCGCTTAATTGTTTGGAATAGAGCAACGTCACTGTTATGATTATTAAAATACAACAACTTGTGTTCACGTTTACTTTTTTCCAGTTTTAGTACCCGTTATTGCGTTCAGGTTCGCTGCTTTATTTATCATTTTGAGCGGGCGATCATCTGACGTCACAGCCCTGGGTGGGTGGTGCGTTTTTCATATATATTTATTGGAATAATTTTGTGTGGATGCGTGTTTTGTGTTTAAACGTACGGTTCAGCTTTAATAAACTATTTTAGTCCCGTGATTTCTTTCATTGTTTTGGTACGACAAGCACGGTTACTACTAAGGCGTGGAATTACGGTGATGTACTTCAATGCCGTTCCTGGACAATAGGATTTCACACAACTTCCACTGGTTTAACCAACTAAATCGCGCTTTTTTGTGCAAAACCAGCTTCGTAGCAGCCCGTTAATTCTAGGAGAATTCAATTTTGATGAAACTAAATTAAATTTAAAATCAAACGATTGTTTTGTCACAAATTTTGGGACGTGTTCTGTATGATAAATTCGCGAATTACGACGCTTCGTGTAAACAGTGAAAGCATCAGCAGCAACCGGAGTCGGGGGGAGCCACGTAGCTAGCTGATATTTGTGTGTCAGAGACAGTTGCTTCAAACAAGCCTAGTGTAGTGTTCAATAGCGTAAGTAAACCTTTTTTCTTTTTAAACGCTCGAACAATGTAGGTTGATATTTCAACGTTTATTTGAATAATTTTCTTGCCGTAAAGGTGACTCATCTTTCCAGTTAATGTTGCCATGATGTCCGAGGGAGACACCATGCGTGTGTTGCATCAGCCTGTGTACAGTCACGATATTTGTACTCATGTGAACTACTTGTTGGGAAATATGAGTAAAACGGATCAAAATGGATATGTTTTATCGTCATTAACAATTGCCACCACTCAGTCAGGTGTCTTGATGTGGTGCAGTTACTTGGTTGTTACTTGGGATTTGCTCTCGTCGATGTTGTCGGCAATTGAGAATATACTTTGAAGATTTCACAGCCAAGAAGGAGCCAATAAATCGACCACAGACAGTGAAAGTTTGACTGTGTATGTTTTAAGACACAATATCCAGTTTTTTTTTGGAAATTAAGGTTCTGTCTGAATGAGAATGATTCGTTGTGTTGAAATGCAGGGGTGTGGGCTTGGAGGGGTGTGTTCTGTCCACCTAGTTCCGGGTCGGCAACACGCGGCTCCAGAGCCGCATGCGGCTCTTTAGCGACATCTAGTGGCTCCCTGGAGCTTTATAAAAAAAATGTTTGATAGTAGAAAAAGATTTTGATAGTAGGCTAATATAGCTCAAATAGATATAGATACATATTGCAGCTCCGAAAAAGGAGAGCTGTGGTGTTGTTTTTTTAAAACGTACACTTTATTTATGCTATTAACAGTCTCGACAAACACAGACGCGTCTGCGTCTGACTCTGTGCCTTCTCTTCTCGTTTGACCCGAGAGGCGTTCAAAGACAGCCTCCGAAAAACGGCAATTAATGATCACTTCACTGACACTAAGAAAAGCGAAATTAATGCACCAAAACAAAAAAATCAAGCGAGAAAATCACAAAATAAATTCTATAGGGGCGTTTGTGAACACACAACAAAGGAATGAATAACAAACAATTCTGAGACAGTCCAGTTTCCTACATACATACAGCATGTGTTTCCTTCATTGTAAGTTTTATAGAAGGCTTTTATTTTTTTGAGGCTCCAGACATATTTGTTTTTTGGGGGTTTTTTTTGCCCTATATGGCTCAACATTTTGGTTTGCCGGCCCCGGACCTAGTTCAAAGCTTTTTGACAAGGCAACTACAAGTAATCATAACCTGTTTTAAATTGGGAATGGTTTGTTGATTGAAGGGCATTTTAAAAATGCAAGCTTTGTAATTGTGATCGTTGGTAGCCCGTTTATACTTGCATGGAATGTTTGATGTCATGAAAGGTGAAGTTGTACAACTCTCTTGCAGGTTTCGAAACAGGAAGAATGTGCACCACACCTCCCGACTGTCAGGGAAATAATTTTTGATGATCAGCCAGCAGCCATTTTACGTTCCAACTGTGGGATATGTTTATATCCGTGTAATAGGTCGTCTCTCAAGTGTCGATGACTCACCCCGGCGTGATCCTTTCAACTTGAGTTAATGGTTAGTCAGTAAAGTTAAGCTGATATAGTAGTGTAGTATTTTATGGCAGATTTTTTTTTTTTGCCACTCGATTTTGAACTGCAAGTTTGTTCACTTTTTTTTCCTGCGAGAAAAGGCCAATTCAAGCATGCAAAAGCAGCAATGTGTTATTCCAGCCAAATTCCTGCTCAACGTCCAGTCACGCCCCCTGACATCATTGTTAAACGACTCAGAACCATCACGTTCAACTACATTTCCGCATATGGTAAATGATGAGATGAGAGCAAAGCATGTTTCTTTTACGCAGCAATCTACAGTACTCTATTTCAAACCTTTCATGTCTGTCTGTCATCACTTTGAACCCACAAACCATATTCCTCCCCTATAAGGTACAAGGTACCTTTGTAGCTCACCGCAATGTTTCATATTTTCATTTTGCTACATTTTAGCACAATGTTAACATTCAAACTGCATCATGTTACACACAGGTGCTCAAATATACTTTAAGGAATAATTTACAGGGTTTTTTTTTTTGTTTGTTTTTCAAGTGAAAGGGTGGTTTTGTCGGTGTAAACAAGAATGTACATGGAAATTTGACAATGGCTGTAGATTAAACAGTGAGAAAATGTAACAACGCGATTATGTTGACCAAAATCACACTTAACTGTATTTCTACAATGTTGCTCAAAGAAGTTATTGATATGTGCCATTATATTAGTGAACAAGCATCTTATTTTCAATGGCAAAAAATATCAAACTAGCAATTTTATTTTCTTTGTACCCTTTAGAAATGATCAACAGCAGTGACCAAAATTCCAGTAGTTATCATGCATGATCCCAAAATGTGTCTCCAAAAATCCCGGAGAGAAGTTTGACAGAAAGGACTAACCAGTGATAAGCACAAAAAAACTAAATACTAAACTGTATTATCAAAACAAAGTAAAAGTTTTCAAACATCGCTTGGGTTCTCTGTTGACATGACTTCTAAAAGTAGTGAATTTCGTTTCGCTTGCTGATTCTTTCTTTCGTGGTCATAGCTAATGGGGAAAATGAACAGATTCTCGCTTTTGTCGCATTCCACCTCCCGGCGAGTGCACTATTTTCCTTTTTGGCAGCGGGGTTTACATCCAGCCAGGTGACTTTAAGGGTCGCCCGGTTCGGGCTCGGCGGTCAAGCAGTTCACACGCACGTACGCAAGTTCAAAAGGCGAGCGCGCCCTTGTGCAAACATGCAGAGCCTTTATGATAAGTCATAGCGTCCCTTACATATATAAACATACATTGTGGCTCAAAGGGTGGTCTGGGGTAGTGTGTGTTTGCGTGTGCGTATACACACACACACACACACACACACACACACACAGCCATGGTCTAATCCACCTTCCAGGGTTATGCAAGGTCACATTAGCGCTTTTCATTGGTTGTTTAGTCTTGTGGGCCACTGAACATGGTGTTCTTTTTGTGCCTGTGTTTAGATTAGACCAATGCCGTACGAACAGAAAAGGCGTCATCCAAATCATTGACTAGAACGATTCTCCCAAATCTTAGAGCCAAGCCATTCATTTTACCATGGGGGGGAAAAAAACCCTTAATGGAGCAAACTGAAATAATAAAGATTGGTCTCAGTGGACTGATAAATTTACTTCATGAGTGACAGGAAAATCGGAAAATTTACGTCGGAATATTTGTGATTTATTGTCGATGTTTTGTTCTGTTGTATCACTGTTATTTAAAAAAAAAAATCTGTAAAGTGCATTGTGACAGCACGATGTACATAAAGATGCATTGGTTTGCTAATTTTATTATTATATTAATACACGTGTGCATGTGTTGTGGTTGACGAGCGAGATGTTGGCTATTTACAATGCAAGTTGATTGCGGAACTGTGTACAGGTTGTAATTAGGTTAAGTTGTTTGTTGCTTTTCCAGCTTAATCCTCTTAGAGCCTACGGCGGCTGTTGCGATATTGTATTGTTGAAGAGGTGTCGCTTATGAGGAAGAAAGTTTTGCTCACTCTAGGCCTTGATTTTAGTATGAGGAAAATGCCACTAAATTAATTGCAGGTAGAGCGTTTTGCCCTTTAGCTCGCTGAAAGGCAGGAGGCGTCGCTTCGCAGATGTTGCCAGATGGCACATTCCTAAAGCCACGCCTCGGCACAACCTGCTCCACTCTACGTGAGGCCCTCGCCAATTTACAAAAGCACAAGGAAAAGATTAGCGGCTCAGGTGGGGCCCAACCTTGCGCAGCGAGGTTGTTGTCGGCAAATACTCTGTTGATTTGTATCATACTCATATTTTTTATATATATTTTTTTGACAGCCAGTTGTGTGGGAGAGTGTCTCTTGTTTATTATGTTGTAACTCTTTTGTGCTTTTATTTCATTGTTGGACAGCAAGAGACTGTCTGCTCTTTGAATAGTCGGTGTATTGTTTTAATACTTGAAATAGAATGTTGCCTTTCGCACTGAAACATTTGTGATGAGTCGTGTCCGGTATGCTGCGGGGGGGGGGCTAGACCAAAATTAGACTTCACATTATTGGCGGTGTGAATGCTGTTTATCCACTGCTTTGGACAAACATTTTGTCGCCTATTTGTGGCTTTGTCCAAGTGCATTCATCTGACCACTTCGCGGGAAATTTAACCACAACTGAATGTGTTGCATAAGCCTAGAAAAGACAGAATGTGATGATCAAATCGGTCATTCGAGTAACTAGCAGGTTGTCCGATGGGATTTTTTATGGACTGAATTTCCCTACTTCACGTGCCCTCCGTTTTGCAGCGAGAGTTATCTGCTAAATACTACACTACTTTTACGACAGCGTCTCAAACGGTTTTGACTAACCATTAACTTTGTGGGTCAAAGTGATCCTTGAGTCTGTGTCATCTTCATTCAAGGTGCGACTTATTTGTTTATTTATTTTAAGGACGACGAAGCTATGCAAAAGCGATACGAATATTTTGAACAAATGGGAAGAGATGATCATTTGTTCATTTCGGTCGGGGCTCTACTGAGCATACCTTCTTGTGCCTCGTAGTGACATATTTTCAAGCCACTGTGCAAACTATTTAGTTCATTGAGACAAAATGTAGTTCACTCTTTACAAGCAACACCAATTAAACAAAGGTAATGTCATTATTTATACCTTTTTTGTTGATCTCTCTCTTATTTAATCAGCGATGCCAGGAGCGAAGCAGGTCTTGATCGGCACAGTTGTTGTTGGGCATCTTGCCACGTAGTTTTTTATTCAAAGTGCATGACTCTGAGGCAGTTTGAAATTTTATTTGATGTACACCTGTCACCTTCTTTGGAATGAGTAACTGTTGCCAAGCGTACCTGACTAACCTGTTTTAGAGCAGGGCTCCTAATTGTGAACTAAAATCGAAATCCTGAGCAAATACTGTGAAGGATCGAGACGAGTGGCGGCCAGCCGACACTTTTATCCGGCCTGTCTTGAAAATTGTAACAACAAAACTTCAGATTGACGACCATATAATGTAACATGCTTTCTTAAGTAGTGAGCAGATTATTTGCCAGGTTCGTCGTCTCGTTAAGAAAAATACACACTTCCTCAAATAAAAGCTTTTTTCTGTGGGGTTTTTTTTTTTGCCATTAGGGGGAAAATGTGTAATAATTAATTATCTCAGCTCATAAAACTCTCATTGTTCGAATTGGGAACATTAGATCGTTGACTGAGGAGTCCTTCTGAACTCTGCTGTTAACTTCAAGATGGTGCCGTAGTTGGAAGCCACTTGCAAGAGCTCTCAGCTTATTTTTGGTGTTGTTGTCTTTTGTTTTGTCACATGGTGTTTGTTGTCCTTCGCGTGGACTCGTTGTGGACTGTTTTCAGCGTTTTGGCCACGACATTGATCACAGAAGAAAAATCTGTGCTTGCTGGTGTTGCGCTTTCTCGGCAGCACGCGTGTACCCGCACTAATTTTGAAGTGTTTTACAAAACACTATTTTATGAACCAATTGTTGATGTTCATTTGGTGTTGTTTAGTCGGTTCAGCAATACAGGTATCACACGAGAGGAGTTGATGTGCTTAGCAACCTTTTTGTAACGGATTCAGTTTGTGTTTCAGTAGTTGTTTTCCAAAGTAAAAGATGATTACACAAATAATAATCTGTCTGCTTTCATGAAGGACAAGATAAATCAGAATAATTACGGCTGACAGGCTGAAATCAGAGGATTTGGACAATTTTAAGTTAAAAAATTGCTTATTAAAATAGCTGTCAATTTGTTAATTTATTGTCAATCGATTAATTTTGACATCTATGTCACTTTAAAAATTGTTTTTTTTATCAGGAATGTTTTGGAGGACTCGCCAAACCTGCTCTGAAAACGAAGGGATGCAAACATGCAGAAGTCAAAGCCTAGATTATTTACAAACTGCTGCGAGCTTTTGTTTTGCGCCACAGCCGGAACATACCACAACAGTCATTAACTTGCCGTCTGCTCATTGGACACATAAGTGGGCCGCATCCCCACGTCAGCCCACGTCAATAATGTGTTGGCACATCAGGTGACGGGCGAGCCCCCGTATTGTAAGCGGGGAGGGCGTGTTGTTATGAATTGCTCTGTTGGCCCTGCCTGTGTTTGGTTTATTTTTATGCAGGCGTCCTTTTAGCGTCCGTCACGCTTCCCTGACACTTGATTATGGGGACACAATCCAAAATTTTTAAAATTTTGACCTGTTTAGCCAAACTTGATACCCATCTGCAATACAATCACCTGTTCTAGGGGTTCATGCGAGGAGACCTGTTGTGTTTCAATGTGCGGTTTATTTGTGTATTCATCCAAGTTCTCCCCGGGCTGCTACTTGGCCTCATCCTGTTGCTGTTATCTTGTCCTCTGTTGATATTAGCTTGCAGATTTTAAACCAAGTGCTCCTGCACATCTGCGGTTTTCCCAGACCTTGTCTTACACATCTCTATCGACTGAGACAACAAAAGTCCCACTAGAGGGCCTTTTCCTGTCCCCCCACCCCCAACAATTCCTACGCAAAGTTTTTGTCAAGTTGGAATTTAATTGAAAGACAAGTGTGGGGTTGTCCCGAGCTCTTGCCATGTCATGTGCTGATTGTAGTAGAGGTATAAATACCTGTAAGTTGTGCAGGTTTGTCCTGTAGTGAAACACATTCTGAATCCGCTCCGACGTTCCCGAGCAGCCGAAGCCCGAGATAATTTTTCCACAAAAAGTGTTTTGAGTACATATTTACTTTCTTGATTTACTTACTTGATTAACTTTGTTAAACTTACTGATCTATTTACTATTTATTTCAATATTATTTACTTACTTGATTAACTTTGTCAAACTTACTGATCTATTTACTATTTATTTCAATATTATTTACTTGATTAACTTTGTCAAACTTACTGATCTATTTACTATTTATTTCAATATTTCTTCATTTTTCTTATTTATTCATTTAACTATTTAGTCTCTATTCATTTTATGTAGGCCCACTCACCTCTTTATTAATTTATCCACTATTTTTTTCATCCTGCAGTATTTTTTTATACCCTATTCTTCAGTTTTATTTTGCCTTGCTGATTTTTAGTTATTTGATCAAGGCATTTTTTTTGTCCCATCTGCAACTGTGGCTTTCCTTGCCCACTTGTTAAGGGCATTAACATACTTAACATACAGACACAAAGCAAACAAACGATCAAGTGACATTTCGTAACTAAAGAATAAGCTTGGGCGCACATGAATCAAGGTACCAGTGTAATTTGTGTGTGAAACTAGGCAAGTAGCTGGTGAGAGTGAATGCATTTGTGGGATGGAATGCCGTTAATAAAGTGCAAGTAGCTGACTGTATGTTACCGCGGCAACAGCTTTCAGCACGAATGGAACGGTTGCAATAATCTGTGCTGCCTGCTGCCAAGCACGGAGAAACTTTGGCAGTTCCTGAATAGTGAACTTTTTCCTTCTTGCCTCCTCACAGGCTGCCAAATCTGCCCGAGCGGAAACGCCCACAGACCAATCATCGACAGCCTCACCTTCGCCATCTGTGCAAAGTTTCTTTGGTTCTACGCCTTGTGTCAATCACACCCACCTGCAACACTCGAGAAGGATCAAGTCGGATAGCGCTCCACACATCTTCACAGCAGACATGGCCGGCAAGCTGACCCAGTTCGGAAACAAGCTGCTGCGTCGCCGCACGTTGGATTTCTCCAACGAGGAGACGCGCTTCGCCCGCTGCCTGTCCACCCTGGACCTCATCGCCTTGGGGGTGGGCTCCACGCTGGGCGCTGGCGTCTACGTGCTCGCCGGCGAGGTGGCCCGAGAGAAGGCCGGGCCCGCCATCGTCCTCTGCTTCCTCATAGCAGCGCTGTCCTCCATGTTGGCAGGCTTGTGCTATGCCGAGTTCGGAGCCCGCGTCCCCAAGACGGGCTCGGCGTACCTCTACAGCTATGTGACAGTGGGGGAGATCTGGGCCTTCATCACAGGCTGGAATCTCATCCTTTCCTATGTGATTGGTGAGTCTGCAACACAATTCCCTTTTATTAGTCAAACACAAATACTAAATGAGAACACTCACAAGGACCTGCTGTAAGCCACAACTCTTGCCCAGACACTCACGTCTACTAACTGACTCAGCTGCTGACTTCATCCACTAGGCCCCCCCGCTTATAAAGGCACACATGCTCCACACAAACACTTAAAGACCAGTTTGTTTCTTTACATTAGCTTGTATTTTTACAATGCTGTGCTTCTTAGTTAATGACACATAACACTGTTGCACATTTCAGCTACCCTCAGGCAGAAAATGAGACTGACAGGGTGATTAGGGTGCAGTGTACAACACAAAAAAATATGTATTACTAACATGGACAAATTACACCCAAAGACTGTTTTTTTTCTCCTCTACACCCCTCGCGATCGATTTGGGACCAGTCCGCGATCTACTGGTCGATCGTGATCGACGTAATGGGCACCCCTGATCTCGTGTCCCTATATCAAATTTTCACCCATAAGAAGTGTGCCTGGAAAGTATCCCCAGCAACGAACGGGGATCACGGTCAGAGCATTTTTTCCCACCCGACTCATTTTTTTTTTCCTCCAATCCCAATTTGTAACAGGTACTGCAAGTGTGGCCCGTGCATGGAGCTCCACTTTTGACAACCTCGTGGAGCAGAAGATATCAGTCTTCTTCAAAGCCTCCATGACAATGAAGGTGCCCGGCAATGTGTTGGCGGAGTACCCAGACCTGTTTGCGCTCATTCTGGTACTTCTGCTCACCGGTGAGTCATCTCTGTCTTTAAAACCAAATTATCTGGGCCACCGATTACACTGGGAGTGCCATGTTTTGGTGGCCATTTGTCGTAGACAATTCAAACTACACCTTTATTGGCTCTTTGTAGGTACAGTGGTAGTAACCATAGGCTGACATCAGATGTTAAAATTCTTCTTAGTAAGTCACAGTGTCCCATCACTAGTTAAATTTTTTTAGAACAGACCTATGGGCTGTCCATGTAAAGTTGTCCTTGAGGCTAGCTAGTACCTGCTGGCACCATTTTTTCATTTTTTTTTAGGACAATGCACATTAACAGCAAAATAGCATCTGTTTACCGTGTCTCTTTAGTGTCGCCGCCTCCTCCGTATGGAACTGTTCATAGCGCTCCCCTCTCTGTTTGAAAGGGGGGAAAAAAAAGGCAATTGAAAGGCTGTTAACTTCAAAGAAGTGGCTTGTTTACTCAACTCTGGAAGCCGTCAATTGTAATGGGCCCTGCTTCAAAGTCCAGTCTAAAAAAGAAAAAGAGCTCATTCCCGGAGACAGCAAGTATTACCGGTTTTTGAAAGCTTTACTTTTTAACACCACGGTAAACCGGTAATGGGGCCCATGTGGAAGTGAAAGGAAGAAGTATGCAAATGCATGAAATGCGGTCTGATCAGCGAAAACACAAGAATAAACTGTCTCCTTAAAACTAAGGCCACACAGTGAAGTTTGGGTGTTGAATTCATCGAGCAAACAGTACACTTGTCACTGTACTCTTGCACCTCGTGTGGGATGTCATGCAGGAGCAAAGTAGTGAGAACATGGCTAAATGTTAGCGCTTCCTGATGGTTTGATGTCATTCCCACACTTCGGCCCACACGTCGCAAATGATTTATTGGAGGTGAGGCATGAACGGGTTTATCTGCTCTTGTGCCCTTAGGCCTGCTCGCCTTTGGCGTAAGCGAGTCGGCACTGGTCAACAAGATTTTCACCGGCATCAACCTGGTGGTGCTGGGCTTCGTCATCATCTCGGGATTCGTAAAGGGAGACACGACCAACTGGAACCTCACGCTGGAGAACTACACCAGTTTCGTGAATGAAAGCAATAGCACCAAGTCAGTAGTGTACGCTCTAAAATTGTGTGTCTTGTTTATCGTGTTTGTTTGTGAATTCAGTTGTGATTTTCTCTGAATGTCATCTAGTGTTGAGAAAGAATTTGGGACCGGTGGCTTTGCTCCGTTTGGCCTCGCCGGCGTGCTGTCTGGTGCCGCCACCTGCTTCTACGCCTTTGTTGGCTTTGACTGCATTGCCACCACAAGTATGTCTGACTTCCTCAAATAGTGGCAAGCTATCTCGAAAGGGACGCCGCGTACCAGTTGTTGCCACATGTGTCATCCTGCCAAATGCCACCCTTTTCCACCCACCATAAGAAACGGGTAGTAACTGCTGAGCCCATTTGATCTCTGTTACTAACCAAAAACAGCAGCACCAAAGGGCTGAAATAAATCTCGTCATTGAGCAAAGACTTTCGTTGTCTTGGTTTCCCTGGACAAGACACCGTCTTTAGCATGGTTGAAAACAAAAAAGTCATTTTAACATGCTTGTGATAAATTAGTAAAGTTGTGAAATGGAGGTACCGTTTCGATGAAGTAAAATAATGAATAGGAAAAAATTGTTGCATCGTCGAAATTTAGCAGTATTAAATACTAACGAATAATAATACATTGTAAAGTTAAAACATTGTAAAATGAAAAAAAATTCCCTTGTAAATAAATTGACCAAAAAAATACAATTAAAAGAGACGAAAAATAAATACATTTTTGGCACTTTGTGAACCCAATCAAGGGTTGAGCGGGAACCAAATGAAAGCTGAGCTTCATGTTAGCAGACAGAGTAAAATGTTGGTTTATTTTACTATTCTTATTTTTTTTTTTTTAGGCTGTCCATAGTTCTGCTCATCGAGTGTCACTCAAAAATGGGCGTTTTCAGTACCGCTCTTCTCATTGGATTATACTATGGGTTTACCAGTGAGTTTACGTGCATTTTGCTCCTGTTAACTGATCACATGTTTGACACGAGAGGCGAAAGTGCTGTTGGAGCGGCTGGTTTATGTAATTGCAAGTACAGAAGGAGTCAGCGGTACGGACACCTGTTTCTGGAATTTCTTACGTAACCCCAGCCGGGTCCATGTGGAACACATAGCATGACAAAACTTGTTGTTTGACAGAACACCACAGTGGGAATTCCAGACCTTGTGTTTTATTTACGTTTTGTCAAGGACATTATTGTATAGCAGTTGTTGGAGTATATTAAGTAATCGGATAAAAGAATTGCACAAAATGATTCTTATTCTATTTATTGTATAGCAGTTGTGGGAGTATATTAAGTAATCGGATAAAAGAATTGCACAAAATGATTCTTATTCTATTTATTGTATAGCAGTTGTGGGAGTATATTAAGTAATCGGATAAAAGAATTGCACAAAATGATTCTTATTCTATTTATTGTATAGCAGTTGTGGGAGTATATTAAGTAATCGGATAAAAGAATTGCACAAAATGATTCTTATTCTATTTATTGTATAGCAGTTGTGGGAGTATATTAAGTAATCGGATAAAAGAATTGCACAAAATGATTCTTATTCTATTTATTGTATAGCAGTTGTGGGAGTATATTAAGTAATCGGATAAAAGAATTGCACAAAATGATTCTTATTCTATTTATTGTATAGCAGTTGTGGGAGTATATTAAGTAATCGGATAAAAGAATTGCACAAAATGATTCTTATTCTATTTATTGTATAGCAGTTGTGGGAGTATATTAAGTAATCGGATAAAAGAATTGCACAAAATGATTCTTATTCTATTTATTGTATAGCAGTTGTGGGAGTATATTAAGTAATCGGATAAAAGAATTGCACAAAATGATTCTTATTCTATTTATTGTATAGCAGTTGTTGGAGTATATTAAGTAATAGGATAAAAGAATTGCACAAAATGATTCTTATTCTATTTATTGTATAGCAGTTGTTGGAGTATATTAAGTAATAGGATAAAAAGAATTGCACAAAATGATTCTTATTCTACTTATTATTTATTTATCTATATATTCTATATCTATTCTTCTTTCTTCTTTCTACCCACAATCTTGCTGCTGTAGACTGTAAATTTCCCCAGTGTGGGACAAATAAAGGATATCTTAATCTTATGCTGTCAAAATAATAGATTCATTTGATCATCAATTTGTTGTTGATAAATAAAAAATTGTACCTCTAGAATCTGCCAAACAGCGTTAATTGCTGGCATCATTTTTAACTTTTTGTCACAGTAGCAGTAAAAATACCAAGATGCTTGTTAAAAAAAGTTGGGGGGTTTTTGTTTTGTTTTTTTGTTTTTTTTGGGTCATTGCGTCACAGTCCAGCGATCCTAAAAGGTTGATTTGAGGGAACTGGGCTGCTCTTGTTTGTTGAATATGTTGTTTTTTTCCAAAATGACTCAGGCAATTATGCTATTAGGCTTGACAATACGCCGTTTAGTCACGCCTCATTCTCAACATTTTTATTTTGTCTTCCACAGGCGAGGAGGCCAAGAATCCCATGCGGTCCATCCCCATCGGCATTGTGGCCTCACTCCTCATCTGCTTCTTTGCCTACTTCGGCGTGTCCGCCGCGCTCACCCTGATGATGCCCTACTACCAGTTGGACATTCAGAGCCCTCTGCCCGAGGCCTTCACCTACGTAGGCTGGGCCCCGGCCCGCTACATTGTGGCTGTGGGCTCGCTCTGCGCCCTGTCCACCAGCCTGCTCGGCTCCATGTTCCCCATGCCCCGCGTCATCTACGCCATGGCGGAAGACGGGCTGCTGTTCCGTGCGCTGTCCCGAATGAACGCTCGCACCAAGACACCTCTGCTGGCCACCATTGCTTCTGGCATTGTCGCGGGTAAAATGTTGTAATATGTTTTGTTTTTTTAAATTGTCAAATAATTGGCCAATTTTTACTGATTTTAAAAGAGTTGATTGTTGGCTGGGCTAATGAGTCTGGTGTCTCTCCCTGCAGCTCTCATGGCCTTCCTGTTTGACCTCGGCGCTCTGGTTGACCTTATGTCCATCGGAACATTGTTGGCCTATTCGCTGGTAGCCATCTGTGTTCTCATCCTCAGGTAGGAAACTCGGCTACAATTTTTCGAACCGCCGCAAAACACAATTATTTTATGCAGTCTTTCCCAAAAGTGTGGCACTAGTAACAGTCTTACGTGGGCTCCCTCTAGTTAAAAAATTAAACGACCGCCTCAATAGTGCAATTCAGTTGTATTTAACTCCTGTACAATATATTTCAATGGAATCATAATTTAAGTAGTAATTATGAAATTGTTGAATGAGGTCTCTCGATATAGTTTTTAGTTAGCCAGTTGTAAAGAATTAAAGAACCAAATCGGCTTTATGTGGCCTGTGGGACATACATTGCTACCCACCCAAAATAAATCCTCTTCCTTCATTTTAAAGGTACCAGCCAGGCACGTTGCCATCATCCAGCCAGACGGAGAAGCTGATGGAGCAGGTAGAAGACGAGAAAGTGGCCGTGAGCGGCGGGGACAGCGGCGACGAGTACACTGAGAGTGAGGAGAAGCCCCGTAGGGAGGCTTTCAGCTTCAAACTGCTCTTCCACCCGAGCTCAAAGATCCCTACGAATGCCTCCGGCCAAATCGTCTATGTGACCACCGCCATCATCTGTGAGTACAGCGCAGTGCAATACGCAAAAACGCCACAGTACTTTTATTATCTTAACCGCGCCGTTGTGTGTGCGTGTGGGCGTGCAGCCGTCCTGATCACCATCCTGTGCATCATCCTGGCCAACTGTCTGCCTGCCCTGCTGGCCGGCGACAAAGCTGTGGTCGCGTCTTGCGTTATTTTGGCTCTGCTGTGCGCCGCCTGCCTTATCGTCATCTGCAGGCAGCCCGAGAGCAAAGAGGCTCTGACCTTCAAGGTAAAGGCAGCTGCTCTTCTCACAAAACACCCCCGCCCCCTCTTGTTTTGTTGCACACCTCATTGAGCAACACGTACAATTGTGTCACTGCAATGTGTGTCACACGACTTGTGGACACATCCACATCATGTACTGGTATTTTCCAAAACAGTTTTTCCAGGTCATGAAACTTTCCGTCCATAACAGCGGACTTAAAAACAATCTCCTGGGGGGCTAGTGTGTTTGAGTAGAATTCCACATTGTACCACTTCTACATCACAATGTTAAATGTATTCTTGCGGTCACCTTTTTTTAGGTTCCCCTGCTTCCTTGGTTGCCCCTGTTCAGCGTCTTCGTCAACATCTACCTCATGATGCAGCTGGACAAGGGCACGTGGTGTCGCTTCACTGTCTGGATGGTCATTGGTACGTATGAAGACATCTCTTCCTTGCTGCCGTCCTTACTAGAGGTGGAAAAAGTATGAAGTAGAATTTATAGATACTTGTGTGGGAAAAGATGAGAGAAAATTGATGAAGAAAAAAAACAGAAAAACTCAGCAGTTGCATCATTCGTATCTCATGGCACCACATTACCCATCCGGTTCCTTCTTTCCTGACGCCTTCTCTCCTCGCATTCCACCCCGCAGGTTTTATCATCTACTTTTTCTACGGCATTAAGAACAGCAGCGCCAACCGCTCCTCCCAGCGCAAATACGAGCCGGCGCTGCAGTCCAAGAGCCCTATTTACAAGGGCGCCCCCGACGACAGCGACGTGGAGGGGGCCAACAGCCCCTGTTAGCCGCTCACGCAGTCCCGAGAACGGAGGGAGATGAGATGTGGTGAGGCGGTTTGGTGGTGGGGATGCGGACTTTGGAACGTAGCCCGAAAGGGAGGAGTGGCAACACATCTTTTGCCTCTTTTTATACAGAGGCCAATAATAACTGGATGCTACGGACAGTGTGACGCGTGCTTTTTATTTTATGTCGTCTGTGTATATAGTTAGCCAAGTAGCCTGCTCTCGCCACGTGAACGGTTGTCACATCGCTCTTTTGTCATCATGCGAGATCCTCCTCCTTCCTTGTCTCCATTAGTGGAGATGACAACTTGCGCCTGTGACGCTACGCAGGGAAACGTCAACTTCCTGTCCGCGTCCACTTGATTGATTGCACCAGCCTGTTGCTTTGTGTCTGCTGTGTGTGTATAAACAGGGTAGTGCCGTAGCTAAACGGGCTTGACGTCCTGTTTTGGACTGAAATGCTCTAAGGTCAATAATGGCACACTATCCGTATTGATGTAAATCTACATGACACCTCACAAGTTTTTCCTATTACTTATGAATCGGCGACTTCCGCAATGGACCCTTTCCGTCGCACACTTGTCAAGTCCAAACTTGAGACTGCATCAGGTGAATTTGTTGCAAGCAAACTTGAACTTGTCTGTGAAATTCAGTGTACAGTGGACCCTCCCAAAAAGTTGTGATTCCAGTTGAATTTCAAGTTCCAGCGTCAAATACTGTCAATTTGTTACAGACCATAAAACTTGGAATCACTTGAGTTTCAAGCTCCAGCGTCAAAATACTGTAGATTTGTTACCGACAAAAGGAACCGCTCGTCAAATTTCAGTGGAGAGTGGAACTGCTGAAGTTGTCACGCCGGTTGACTTTTTATGTTGTTTCAGCTTGTCAAATGAACCGGTGACAACATTGGAACCTGACTTTTAGTATTTATATGCTGGTTGACTTTGAAATTGTTCTCACGTCAAATCAATCGTTACCCACAAAAACTTGAACTTTTCATTGACATTCAGTGTACAGTAGAGCCAAAAGTTCTCACTTCTGTCAACTTCGCAGTTGAAACATGAAGTCTATTGTTTCCGATGACAAAACTTGAACTTTTAGTTGGCGTTCGGTGTACAGCGGAACCACTGAAATTGTGAAACCGGGTGGCTTTTTAAGTGTTCTCACATCAAAAACAATAACTGTCAAACGAGACCAGTTGTAACTTCTTGTTCACTTTCAATGAAGAGAGGAACTTAGGAAGTTATGACACTGGCTGATGTTACAAGTTTTTCGAACATGATGAAAAATTCAAGTCATACTAACCGTGCCGGTGACAACACTTGAGCTTCTTGTTGACTTTCAGTGTACTGTACAGTGGAACCTCCGAAGTGGTGATGCTAGTCGGCTTTCAATTTGTTCTAAAATCGAATAGAAGTCATGACAAATTAGCCTATGTGTCAGAGATTTTCTCGGACAAAGTTAAAGAAATGACTCGGCACACAGGAAAATTGTCTTCAATATCGGCGGGAGGGGATCTCTGAGAGCGAACGACGGTAGTTGCTCCGATGATCACACTCTCGGCTCCCTCTCCGCCGGTTCGAACTTTTATTGCAAAATACAAGAAAGACACTGCCCCCGAGATTTGCATACCGCGCCCCCCGGTCCGGCCCCTCGGTAGTGATCTGATCTACCCGAATACACAAGTCACAGACTTTGCTGATGACAAATGTCCACCTGGGCGCGACAGCGGTTCCCAAACTGTCTTTTGGTATTCAACAACTCTTTGTTCCCAATTTGTTCATTCCCACTCTGTGATTGAATCTAGCCTTCTTCCATCTGTTCGCCCCCCTTGCTTTGACGTGATTACTCAAGAAAAGGCCCTCCGCCCAAACGGCCGACACCTCTGCGCTGAGTATGTCCAGACATGCCCAAATTAACCGAAACTTTAAACATGATACAATTTTGTTCATAGATTTCTCTATCATTCCCACCTCTTTATCATAATTAAAGTTTCGTCAAACGCCCAGGTGACATTGATATGCAATTGCACGGGTGGGAAGAAAAACTGTCCTTGGGGGTGACAAAATCGGGACAGAAAACCCTTCCCGGGCAATGGCTATACATTAAATGAAAATCGAAATCTAATCTAAACATCAAACAGAGTAAGCCGACCCAAAACATCAAACATTCACATCTGCAATGCCTTTCTGTGAAGTCGTCATACGGGCTTACATAAGGTTCTAGTAAACCAATCATCGTCCTGTCAGTTTGTCGCCTCCTGCCTCCCAGCGTCGAATCCCATGAGGCAAGTCACTCCATTCTTGGGCCTGTGTGCCCACGGTGACCGCACCTAGGTCGATGATGTTTGATGATGATGATGCTGATGATGCACAGGCAACGCGTGACTTCCTTCCTTTGGTCTTTCGGCGGCGCGCAAGGTTAGCGCACTGATGTTTGGGTGCTGATTTTTCCTTCCTGGGACTGGCGTCGCTCGGCCCCTCAACCTTGAACCAAAGGAGATTGCACTGCGACTGGTGGATCCAGCCGTTGCGTCCTTCGCCCTTGACTGCAGTTTTTGTTGCTGCAATCACTTGAAAGGGGCCATTACAGCATTCACTGTCCCAGAGAAGTCTTTTTTCAGCACCTTGAAGACCAGTCTCCAATTTGGACCTGGCAAGTCTGTGGAGCAGAACATCCTGGCAGGTCATTGTGCCTATGCATCTCTTTCTGATCAAATAGTCTTTTCATTTGAGCCAAGGTGGAAGCGCCTATCGCCAGCAGCCAGAGAACTTCCGCATAGCCATGTTGTTGCCTAGCAACCACCAGACGTGTTACGGGTATTTTACCGAAAGTCGCGATCTAGTTCTGGGTTGTTATTCGAAACGCAACGTACCCGCGCCGAAGCAAACAATGACTATTATTTCGAACTGAAACATTACGTACCCGCGCTGAGGTTTATATGGGATACGTTACCACTATAGAGTGATCCCCAATCACACTTACGCACTCACACAAAACAATACGCGACATACACATACAACGTTAGAGACAAACATACCCCGAAGTGGTCAACCTCTCCAGGAAGGCACCGCTTCCTTACCGTTGATGCTTTGCAAGAAACGGTATCTAAATGAGCCGAGGCTCTCACAGATGCACTTGGGCTCTGTGTCCCGTGGGAATCTAACTTCCCCCGTACCGCTAACCACGAAACGGTACTCGAGCTAGCCTACTCCTTTTCGGCATTAACTCGTCTAATTCCGTCACTCAGTGGAGATAACCGACTACGCAACGGTTTCTCCACCACGCCGACTGACCTTATTTTCCGACAATCGTCCCGATGCCGAGCTGAACCCAGGTCCGTTGGATGATGGCGCTTGCTCGCTCCTCACGGTGTCCGGTGCGGGGCTGGCTCCTTCAGGGAAGAAGTTTCCACGGAGTCTGGTCGGCGCAAAACGCGTTATCAGCCACGGATCGTCCACCGGAGGAAATCGGAGAGTCGAATAAGCAAGCTCAAATCCGATCGAACAAGCACATCATCCTGCCGACAACGTCAAGTTTGTGTCAGAGATTTTCTCGGACAAAGTTAAAGAAATGACTCGGCACACAGGAAAATTGTCTTCAATATCGGCGGGAGGGGATCTCTGAGAGCGAACGACGGTAGTTGCTCCGATGATCACACTCTCGGCTCCCTCTCCGCCGGTTCGAACTTTTATTGCAAAATACAAGAAAGACACTGCCCCCGAGATTTGCATACCGCGCCCCCCGGTCCGGCCCCTCGGTAGTGATCTGATCTACCCGAATACACAAGTCACAGACTTTGCTGATGACAAATGTCCACCTGGGCTCGACAGCGGTTCCCAAACTGTCTTTTGGTATTCAACAACTCTTTGTTCCCAATTTGTTCATTCCCACTCTGTGATTGAATCTAGTCTTCTTCCATCTGTTCGCCCCCCTTGCTTTGACGTGATTACTCAAGAAAAGGCCCTCCGCCCAAACGGCCGACACCTCTGCGCTGAGTATGTCCAGACATGCCCAAATTAACCGAAACTTTAAACATGATACAATTTTGTTCATAGATTTCTCTATCACTATGGCACAGCAATACTTTTCATTGGTTTTCAGCGTACAGTATAACCTAAAAAAAGTTGTGATGACTGTTCACGCCTACTGTAATTAATTTATATATAACTCGACAGTCCATATTTTAAGTAACGTTAACATTTCTGTCATAGAAGCGTAGAAATTAATTGTAAACTCAAGTATGACTCAGCCCAAGATGCCCGACTAGGCACGTAACGTGAGGACATGGGCATTTTATTGGTATCGTTTGAGCTAACACGCACTGTAATGAATTGTAAATAGTTGATATTTTATGAATTGTGGTTATTCCCCTTTCCCCCTCTTTGCTATCACCAGTAGCCTTCTGTGGTGGCTTTTCAAAGCCAAAGAAAAAGCAAAGCCGCACTTGAAGCTTAAGTCTTGGTTGTTGGACTTTGGAGGTTCCACTCCGGTTGTTTTTTTTTCCCCCCCCCCCCTTTTTTTTTTTTTTTTTATAAACACAGTCTTTGGTCACACTAAATGAAGTAACATATGAGGGTCACTCGATGAGCTCATTGACTAATCAATCATGTGTATATGTGTGTGTAAGGAAAGATAGCGCTTCATGACTTCTTAATCATAGCAGACATTGTGATGTCGTTCGCATTTTAGTTTCAGTTGAAACTTAGCAGCTTTGTTAAGATGTAGTATTCTTTCTGTTCTGCAGCTGCTTTTACTTAAATGTGTACATGGTCGTGTTTAGGATGACTTGATTGAAATTCTTTATGTCAATCAATTGATAGTGATAAGGTTTTTACACTAGGGGTGGGCAACCTGTAGATGTACATATAATTTGCCGGCCGCCATGCGTTTGTAAATCAAATAAAAATTCTTGAAATGAAATGGACACAGGTATTTAACGGCACATGCATCGTAATATTATATACAACTTTTTCCCCCCCTAAAAAATATAATTTTCTTTTCTTAAATTGAAGTTTTTTGTGATGTTTGCATCATTTTTTCTGAATGTATACATGGAGAGAATGTACAACTAAAAAGGCCCAATAGTGAAGGGTTTGCCCATCCCTGCTGTTAAAGGCAGTTGTGTATGTTAGCATGTAAAGAGTTTAGTGACTTGTTTTGCAATTGTGGTAATCGGCAGTTCTGACCAAATGAACTACTTCTGCTCACCTTCTGAAACAAATAACGACCTCTTAAGAGTTGGTCTATAATGTTATGTGATTTTTAAAAGTGTCCCCGTGTGTAACATATGTGCTTTACTGTATATTGTACAGTACTTGTGTAAGTGTATTTGTAAAATGCTGTAAATTAGACCCCACAACCCTCCACAAATATACTCGATGCTGCTGAATTAATGTGGAGAGATTTGTTTTTTTTTTTGTTTTTATTCATGTGAATTCGATGAGGAGTGCCTCAAAAGAATCATCTCTTGGGTGGCGGGAAAGCAAATCTAAGGTTGGGAATTTTTATGAAAAAAACTATATCATAAGGTGTAGGAGTCTGCTTATCATAACATTACATCCAGCCCTTGTGCCTTTCAAAACAATCCCTCTTTAAATGATGCTTTGATATCAATAGCGATGTTTTTATCATATTTTCTAAAGTGTACATATAGCTGTCATGTATAAATAAACCAGGCTGTACTTTTTTTAATTAAAAAAAAACTCACGTGAGCGTTGTCTTTTTTTTTGTCTCGTTTTCTAAAGTGTATTTATAGCGGTCATGTATAAAGAAACCAGGCTGTACTTTTATTTAATTAAAAAGAAATATATAAATGAGTTCACTTGAGGATTGTGTCATTGGTGTGAAGCGGGTTATTAATATCCGATAATCGGGCCTAATTTGAACAATGCCGCTATCTTAATGCTAACACACAATGGGAAACACGATGGGGTCATTCCATGACAAATTTTGTTAAAGTCACGTGAAACCATATGGTCATTCCATGCCAAATTTTGTTAAGGCCACGGGATCCACATGACAACAAGGTAATTGCTGTGTCTGTGGGTAGATAGAAGGCACAGGAAGTCCTTTCTTAATAGTCTTAACATTAACAGTTGTAGGTGATTTCTTCGACTAACTGCGTCAGGATTGTGTCTACTGCGGTAAAGAACCGCGCCACATCCCGTGAAAATTAAAATAAAGATATCCCATCTCTTTGAAACATTCAATAAATAAAGTAGAAATAACATACCATGTACGGCTAGAAAAACGGTAGTAGAAAAATCCAAGATAAATAATGTTCATCTCACGACCGAACGGTGCCGACTCGAATGTACCTTCCAGCACAGGTGTCTCAATCAGTAAGTAATTGTGTGACCCACATCAAAGTAATTGTTCATCAAGAGTTAACAGAAACCCACAACCTTAAAATGTTCTGTGCAAATAAATACACATACATAAAATATTTGACTAAATTAAAAAGTGTCGATTACTGCCGTCATGCCAAACTAAATTGGTGTGACGTCATCTAGGCTAAAACGGAGTGCCACTTCCCACTGCGCTGGTTCCGCCTTCTTAGCCAATCACAGCAGGTTTCGCAGATTCTCCAAATTCTTCTGTTTTCCAAATCTTAAAGGACTGACAAAAAATTCAATGTGACACTTTTTGTTTGGACTCCTCATGCAATTTCAATTTTACCTTTGGTTTGTTTGTCCCCTAAACACCTAAACCAAAATTAGAAGTTGTGTAACTATTCAAACAAATTGCCAGTATTTGTATGCAACTTGACTGAGTTCGCCCTCTTTTGGCCACCCACGCTTCAGACACCTCCAAAGCCTTTTTGATATTTCCACAGTCCACTTATTGATTATTGATGACGAACATGAAGCCAGCGTTCGAATTAATTAAAAAAAAAAAAAAAACATTAAGTTTTTCAGCATCAAGGCTCGGATCAAACCTGGTTGCAAACAGACTCACCAACCCTGTCTTGACAACTTGTAACTTAACATCCGTGCAAGTACCAGTTATGCCAGACCTCTTTGGCTCACTTGTCCTTGTAGCTTATGCCAAGCGAGGTTTCATCAGAGTCATGGAGTTTTCATGCACCGATTTCAGGCCATGTCCGCCTTTCACCACAATCTTTCTCTCTGTCATAAAGTCAAATATTAAAGAATAAAGTATTGTCAAACAGTGAAATGTTCTGCCTGTGATTCACATCTTTATTGTTGTAAGCGTTAATGAACAACGCCAAATGTTTTTCTATTCATGATACATTTTATCAATTAATCACCATCGGCCATCGGAATTTTATTCTGCGGTATACCAGAATTGGCATTGGCCTAAAGAAAAACAATCAAATAAAATTTTTAAAATGGTCTGGCTCGAGTAACGATTGTTGGGTTGTGCAGTGAGTAAAAGTGCTGCATCTTTCTGACTACAGTATATAGTATATGTATGCATCTGTATATCTATATGTGAAGAGTCTGTCTGATTTCTATTCGATTGTGTATATTCACATGAGTGTCAATGGTCATCACTAACTGTGTCAGTGTGCATGTCAAGAAAGCAGCAAAGCTAACATGTTGAATGACACGAAGGGGGCATCTTGTGCTTTTAATTGAGAGAAAAGAAGTGTATTTTGCACCGAGCAAGTAGTCGACACAGGACAAGTAAAGCGTGTTACTGCAACATGGAAATTGTTTAGGAAAGAGCCAGGGCCCGCTGTGAAGTCATAGATGAAGAGAAGGCCCATCTCCCAAAGATGGAGTCCAAAAGAAATGAGCTCAGCAGAGGCACTGGCGCCCCGCCTTGGTGACCTCCTCCGAGGAGTGCACCGTGTTGGGGACCAGTCCGCTCTTGACGCCTTCCCAGCCGTCCTGGATCTTGATGTCGCCACCGCGCACCAGCTCAAAGATTTGCCTCGTCAGGTCCATGAACGCCTTCAGGAGACCAAAAAAAAAAACCCATATGTACATGCAATTGAGCCACTGAGAGTGGGCTTACTCTATCGAGTTAAAGTGCAATGATTATTGGTCGACACTAGGGCTGACCAATTTATTGTTCATGTGTGTTTAAAAAAAAAAAAAAAAATACACGTGAAGAAGACTTTGAAAAAATAATCCCACCATATATTCCAGGGGTTAACATAAAACTCAGAAATTAAGTGTTTTTGCTTGCGTAAGAAATCATATTTCTCAAAATCAAATTCTCTCAAAAGACTTTTTCCTGGAAGTGTTGTCGGAGGTGAACAAACCGTCTCCACGTTGATGGCGTCTCGTGCCGACGTCTCCACGTAGTTCATCCCGAAGGCCGCCGCCAGTTTCTCGGCCTCCTGCCGGCTCACCTGCCGCTGGGCCTCCAGGTCGCACTTGTGGCCCACCAGCAGGAAAACGATGCTGTGCGGATGGACGTGACTCTGCGCCTCCTCCAGCCAGCTGTGCACATTCTGGAACGAGCGGCGGTTGGTGATGTCGAAGAGCAGGAGCCCGCCCACCGAGTTGCGGTAGTAGGCTCTGGTGATGGACCTGAGCGGGGTGATCATCAGTATGAAGACTTATACCAACAAGATGAATGCTACAACTGAGTAAATGAAAAGTAAGCGAAAATGGACTTGGAATTTAAACATTTGGGACTACCATTCATTTACAGTCAAGTGCTGTGGTGTCTTAACTTACAAGTTTAATTAATTTATTTAAATGTTGGGTTCTTGATCGGCTATTAAATTACATTATTACTGTATATTATTATGAAGTTAATTCTAAGGGTACCTGAACCTCTCCTGGCCCGCAGTGTCCCAGATCTGGAGCTTGACCCTCTTGCCCGGCTCGATCTCCAACAGGCGTGAGAAGAAGTCAACGCCCACGGTGGGGTCCGACACGTGGGCGAAGTGGCCTTCGGTGAACCTTCGGATCAAACACGACTTGCCCACCGTGGAGTCGCCGATCACGATCAGACGGAACTGGTAAAGCCAGATTGTGTCCATGTCAAGTCTGTCGGGAAAACACAACCTTTCAGTCACGAATGAGCCACTGAGAACTACAGTGGGCTAACTCCATTGTTATTATTTTTAATAAAGTGCAGAAAACAGTCAATCAAGATTTTGGTTTGTTTGGGGTTTTTTTCCAAATTCTGTCATAATAAAAAAATAAAAAAATAAAAAATAAGATTCAATATTTTTATTGTAATTTATTAATTAATCTGTAAAGTAAAATATATTTATTGATTGCTTTGTTCATTTACCTCATTAAATAACTGGATTTAAAAATATTTTACAAAAGCAAACTATTTACTTTATTCCACTCATTTTATTTTATTTCAATTAAATTTAAAATAAACATGAGAATTGTTTACCAATGTTATTTTATGTGTATATATATATATATATATATATATATATATATATGGTAAGGCATCGGTTTGGCATACGGGAGACGGACACACACACACACACACACGCACACAATTATCAAGGTCCTCCAGTGCTGCCGATGGCCATATGTGGCCCGCAAGCTTCAGATTCCACACCACAAGCAGTATCGGGCCTTACCATCACAATCCCTGCGAGCATCCAGCTATTGCACTAACATCCATCATCAATCCATTCAATGCGAAAATCTGCTGATTTACCTGGAAGCTGAGGACTCAATATGCGTCAAACCCGAGCCCCATTTCGACGGTGATGCCTTCAAAAACAAGCCGACGGGGAGGGGAGGAGGAAAGACCAAACAAAAAAAAAATATACTGTTATTGTTTACCAGCCGTGCATCGCGATGATTCACGCCTTAAAACAAGCTAATCAATGGATCTTCCAATAGAGTCGTAAGGACACAGACGGTCCACCGCGTATTTGCGTTGCTATTTGGGAAGAAACGACAGTGAGGAGGAAGACAAACACGACGGCATCACGCACACATCCGCACACTCACACACCAGCATCCGCTCGCCCTCATCAGCACCGTTGGTATTTGCATTTACCGTAAACGCGAGCACTGAGACGCAGCCCAAATCGGCGGAAGTGACGCGTGGCTGTCGTCACAGATTTATAATGTCTCACCTCACATTCACACCGTTGGCGTTTTATTCACATTTGATGCCATTTCGCCAATTTACTAAACCACCGTTTTGCGTTACTTTGGAAAGTGCTTTTCATATAAATACGTACCGTAATCATGACGAGCATTACGACGCAGCATCATTTTTTTGGTAAAAATAATTTTACGTTTCTCAAAAAATAATGAAGTTCTAAATTCATGTTTGGTGGCTAAATTATGAATAATTAAATATACTTACTCATTAAAGCATTTGTTAATGTAAGTATTATACACAATGAAAGAGTAAAACGAACAGATTATTTTTTTTAAACGAAAGAATGAATTAAATGGAATTCATGATGATTAAGGACGTAATTAATCCGTGATTTATGATTAAAATAACATATTTTGCAAGTGAAAAGTTCAATAACTTAATTCATTACACAACCCTACAATGCATGTTGAATCCATATTGTGCAAACTTTTACAGGTTAAAAAAGAGAATATAATAGAAATATCTCAAAAATCTGGCGTGATAGAAAAAATAAAATTTAAAAAAATCAGTCAATGATACGTTTAGGGACACCTAGAGCTGTCTCAGATTTTTTGCAATTAAAATAAACGAGTTTCCATATATTACAGTAACTAAATGGTGACTTCAGTATAATACAACGACAAATAATAAGATTGGATAGATGGATTCTTTTGTTATTAAAATAAAAAAGTACCAACTACAGTTCCTTTTCCATACAGATTTGAACTTTTAAAAAATATTTGCTTTTGAATGAAACTGTTTTGTAAATATGTCACATAGCTCTAATGTTGTTTTGTTTCTACCCATCATTGAAATTGATCTCTCGCCATTTCAAGAAAGGTTTGACCGAATGAATCTGAGATTCGCTGTGATTTGGTGATGTTTTCAGGTTTTCAAAATCCCACACCTCGGTCGAGCATTTGAACGCAGCGGGAGTCGCTCCCAGCCAAGAGTCGCGTGGGAGTGGGAGGTCCACAGAGGTCAAAACTTCTCATGCTCCTCTCCAACAAGCGGTGGGAATCCACACATTTGGCCTAAATGCTCCTCTTTTAAGCTGTAATTTTTGGGCGACAGAGTTTCCTCTGAGTGAGAGCAATGCAGCGGGAGCTCCTGTTCAAAGTGTTGGTGATTGGCGACCTGGGCGTGGGCAAGACGTCCATCATCAAGCGCTACGTGCACCACATCTTCTCACAGCACTATCGTGCCACTATCGGTGTCGACTTCGCTCTCAAGGTGCTCCAGTGGGACCGGGACACGGTCATCCGACTGCAGCTCTGGGACATTGCCGGTGAGGACCCACTACAAATAAGTACATTAGCAAATTTAAGTCAATTTTTCAGGGACCTGTACTCTCCTGGAGTATTTTCATTCCCTCCCTGAAGACTTTCTCGGGTTGAAGGATTTTGAGAAATAATCAAATTGTAACGAACATCCTCTTTTCATGTACTTTTTAACAAACAAATGAAATAAATGTATCCGTATTACATTATATACCTTGAGATGTGAGTTGAATGTGTGACCACACTGAAATGCATGGAAATGCCCTTAATTGTCTTTGCGCGCCAGCTCTCCCCAAAAAATCGAGATGCTTGTAATGTGCACTCTACTATTTGGTACCTTATTGAAAAAAAGCATGCAATAATGACATGAGTAGACACAATGCAAAGAAATGTCGTTTTTGTTTCAATACAATATGTTGGGCTGCTCCTTCTGGTGTGTGCACCTTGGCCACCCGGGGTCAGTATAATACAGACATACGGATATATGGAGACAGGCTCAGTTCCTACGTAAGCCACAGTAATTGTGGTTGTTCTTCGCAGAAGATAAAGAATAGTTGCCTGTTAGTATTGAAAGGCTTAATTATATAATTACATGAATTATAAAGACATGTTTGAATGAGCATAAAACATTTTACTTAAAGTGACTTTAAATTGAACATCTTAAACTGTTTAATGGAAGTTTGTCAAATATATTTGACCTAAAATTGCAAAAAGGACATGAAAAATTATTCAAATACGTTATTTTGAAAACAAGTCATTTACAAGTTAAATACTGTTTGATAGCCCACAAATTTTAAAACCCTCCAAAAATATATTTTGAATGTATTTGGGAGAACAATGCTAATGCCTTTTTTCTTTGTCAGACCAAGCAATTCTATTCTCTTTTTTTTTTTTTTTTTTTTTTTTTTTTATTTTTCAAATTGTATCCTTAAACTTTTTTAC